AGCATTAGAAACCACAACATTTCTATTTTGTGATGTGCATCCATCACTAAAAATAACTACATCTTTTGGGCAGTCTTCTACAATTTTCTTTAAATAATCAATATAAAAAGAAGCATAAGTTGATGCTTTTAAATCAGTAGTGGTCTCATCAAACCAATAACACTTTACATTATTAGTGCCCAGATTGTAAATTGTGAAATTATGAACCATAAGCTTTGTTTTAAAATACAGTGCACTAGCTTTCAAAAATGGACACAATTTTACAGCTTGTAAGTCAGCAGTGATAAGATGGAGTGTTCCATTTTTCGCTCTTTCTTTGTCTAAAGTCTTTTCTTGTCTAGCTAAATCTTTTCGTGACAAGTGTTGCTGATATTCTTCTTCACTAATATTACCTACTTTATACGAACAACATAGATCACATGCATCTTTTTTAGGTTGAAACAATGCTATGTTTTCATCTTTTAGAACATCTTCAAATAGTTTTCTTGACGCCACTCTCTGTGCCTTTTTTTTTGCCTCTTCAACATAGATACGATATAGTTCACGTTTAGACTGTATTATTGGCTCTACATATAATTTCGTACTTTCTTTTCTGCAGTAGTGAGAAGGCATTTTGGGCAAATCCCTTAAAAATGCTTGCACAAATTCTTTTAACGTACTCGTAGGCAACGCATTATCCTCCCTTCTGTTCATTGTTGTTTCGTTACTTGGTGTCTCTCCTAACCAGTATCTTACAGTCCACTCCTTAATGCCTAATGTCCCTAAGAATGTCTTTAAACATACTCTATATTTTTGGTCATTTAATTTCAAATAGTACTCTTTTGTACTCCTTCGTCTTGAATCAGACCTTCCAGTGGTTTTTCTGTTAGTCGGTTTTTTATCTACTAAGGATGAAACAAACATTTTTTTCTCAATCCAGCTCATCTCCCAAAATTCTTTAAAAATATTTAATCGCACAGTGTCAGTAAATTTTTCACAGTTAATCACCTTGCTCCTAATACAATTGTTTGACTTACAAGCTTCCCCAAGATTTCGCGCCGGTTTAATAGAGTCTTGTACGAATTTCTCATGATCTGTCTTCCTGAAACCTATGTATTCCTGACCTAACATTCTTAACCTCTTATTTCTAAACCTTTTTGAAGACATTTTATCAGCTTTTCGTTTCCTTATTCTAGACTCAGCTGCAGCTTTATGTTCTAAGTGGCTTTCTGGAATCAGATTATTATTACTATCCGTCGATGATGAAACTATCGGTGCAACATTTGTTATTTCAGACAATGGAGTATAATTTGGATCAGCCACAGAGTCATCTGATGAAAAATCAAGGATTGAAGATCTATTTAGTGCGTCAATACAGTCATTCATCTCATAAGAAACGGATACAACGTTGTTAGTAGCAGATATGACAGGCTCAGAAACATCTGGATCACCAAATTTCAGCAGCTCTGTAGCATACAGTTGCACAATTTAAATACTGTAGTGTATTTTGAAAAAAAAATATTAGATATTAAGAGGTTAGAATGGTAAAAAGAACTAAACTTGGGTTATATACCGATTTTAATTTAAAATATACGAATAAAACATTACATTTACACTTACCTGATGTTGGCAATGATAATTTTTAAGTAAATACACAGTTTTACTGCAAAATTAAACAACAATCTCTGTGCCGGTGTTACCAAATCACATACGCGGTGTTGAAACTTGCTCGCGACAGATACGCAGTGTTGTTATTTGGCGATTTCTGGCTTCCGATTGGTCGAAATGAAGTCGTTTCAAGTCGGTGGCAGCCTATCAAGATTAATGCGTGAATTGCCCGCGAAAACTTAAAATGGCTACATTTGTCATATACGCGGAATTATCCAATGCTAGTTACGCGGATTTGAACTATCCCCGACGATAATCTAAACTACAGCTCTACACCGAAGCGAAGCGAGGGCGGGCCATTAGTACTCTATAAAACATAAAAGGAATTATTGAAGATGGAATGTTTTATAGTACCTACTATTTTTACAGTTTAATAATTATTTTCATAAAAAGTTCCACCATCCTGAGTTCGAACAGCTTTATTTTCACTATCTATGAAATGTATTTAATAGATTATAATTGCCGACTGTTGCTGACAGAACCGATACTATAATTTGTGACAGTTATATTTCTTTACAAATTCAAAATTACATAAAATCATAGCTGCCTAAGCTGGTCACTTATTTTTAGGGTTCCGTACCTCATAAGGAAAAAACGGAACCCTTATAGGATCACTTTGTTGTCCGTCCGTCCGTCTGTCAAGACCGTTTTTCTCAGGAACACGTGGAGGTATCAAACTGAAATTCATATCCAATACTCAGGTCTACTGTGCCTTGGAGCTGTAAAAAAATCAAACTTCTAAGCCAAAGCAATCAAAAGATACAGCTGTTTATGCCGCAAATTTCCGCAAATTTTCGAAACTCGCAAGGGAATCAAAACCTACAGAGTAGTTCCCGTGAACTTAGAATCTTGAAATTTCATACAAAGTAACGTCTTATAGTACAGATAAAGCAAAAATTGCGAATACCGTACATTTTTAGTTACATCATATAATAAAAAATATTTTTAATTTTTTTAAAGTTACTACTTCTTTTCTCATGAACGCGTAGAGGTATTAAATTGAGTTTGTACGGAACCCTCGGTGCGTGAGTCCGACTCGCACTTGGCCGGATTTTTCTAGTTGACATAGGTGCATTTAATTGAAATTCCTGTAAAATAACTTTAACATGTGTAATTTTAGAATAATTTCGGTTTCACCACTAAGATTTAAAATGTGAGCAAGAATAAGGTAAGGTCAAAATGGCTAGTTGGGAAATTACCTGTTTTTTGATACAAATAAAAGCACAAATTACTGAAGAATGACTATTTATTACAGTAAAGACTAAAGTTCCAAGTTACAAGCCTTTTTTGAGTAACTTTAAGTAATTTCAGGAAGCTGAGTTATTTTTTTTATTAAAACAACATTCAAGACAATTACGTCACAAAAAAAGACTGCAAAATACCTACTACGAAAAAAGATATGAATTTTTGAAACCTCGTTGGCAGAAAACATTAAAAATACACAAAAAAAATATAACTCGAAAACTAAGAAAAATCGCGGAACATACATGGGGTATTTTCGGATACCCCTAGGTGCGAGCAATCTAAAAATATTGTTGACGTCACTAATTGGACCTGTATATGAAGATACTTGAAAAAAGTTATTTTTATTACATCTAACTTAAAAACCATGTCGATTCTCAGTGTGAAATGAGCCTAATGGCCAGCTTACACCGCAAGTGGTGGCATGTGTATTATAGAACAATAGTTCTGATTTATCGCAATACTAACATGATTGTATGTACCAAGTGAGTACTTACTTCTCAGAAGAGCACAGTATCACAAGAACTACACACATAGAAGACGAAAAGAATACTTACTTCGTCAATTTATTAAAAAAAAATTTAACACCTAATTAAAAAATGTAAATATTTTATTAAGGTCATTTCGTTCTACGTCATCGGTGAATTGACCATGACTTGTTGATGTTCCTTATATTATAGCAGTGCGTATTATTTGTCAATTTTATTGATTATTGATTAAACATAACGCAAACACAACTAAGCTGACTGTAGCATTATTTGTCTGTGACATAAGGCGAATGAAATAATAAGGCAAAAATATGCGAGTTTCGCTGATGATTGTAACCTGATTATGGCATCATCAAGGCTGAGCCAACATGATACACATTTTACACACTCGAAACATGTGGTGTATATACTTTTGAATTTAAAAAAAAATTACCAAAGCCAGCGTCTCATATTGAGTTTTAAAATTAGTGTTTTAAGTAATTGGTGAAAAGAAAAAATTCAACAATCGGCCATGACTTTTGGTCGCTACATAAAATGCATAATAGTACAAAGTCGCGTCCAATTTGTCAGTATTTTGATAAGGATCTACAGGAGTCAAGTAACATCCCTTCTCAATGTCTGATGCACTGTTGAATATTTTTTTTTCCTTTTGTTGGCACCGTGCTAGTTACCCGGCAGAGCAATATTTTTCAGTCATCAGAAAAGTTACATAATCCCTCCAGTAGCTCCTAATCAAAAGACTGACGATTTGGTGGCGAACCAAATTGAATGTGAATTTTTTTGCTGCCCTAGACAGTCGAACCTATATTAAGGACTCAAGTATGGTAAGAGTACTTCACGAGGTGCAAGGTTGCCCCCCTTATGTTATTCTGCCACACTCGAGTATATCCCAAAATCCGCCCTTGAGTCCCCTACTATTATTATATAGTCTACCCTATGGAAATAAACCCAGCCGCAATCACAACGAAGCGACTTTCAAAAAGTGACGGAAACTTTTTTGGCTGATATTCTAACAGAAATATTGCAACTTAAAAAAAAGATTTACTATTTTCAAAAACTATTTCACTTCATTTTATAGCATCATAATATTTTTGACGTGACAACGTCTTAAATTAGGTTGCGGCTGGGAGTCACTTATGGAAAAGTGTAACGCTCGGTAACGTTACGATGAGTCTCTCGTGTTAAGTTTAAGTTTACATGTACAATGTTTTAGTAAACAAAATATATTTCTATAGTTAAAATTTGTGCAATTCTTATTTTCATTCAATTCCTTGTTCCTATTGTGCAATTTAATTATATTCATATCAATAAATATTCTACCGAGAAAAAGACGTTGTCACGTAAAATCTTCGCCCGTAAAACCGACTTTACAGGCAACCATATTTTTGCGTTATGTTCATTTGTTTTCTCTTTTTAATAAACAGCTTTCTGTTAGCAAGCCCGTTCGATATTTAAATAAAACCTTTGATATATTTGTTTCTTTAGTTTTCACGCATTAAATAAAACAAGCTTTAACGGGTAAATGCGTTTCTTTGTTTTTTTACCAAATTCTATAAGCTCTCTAGACACCTGTATTTGATTGTGCACCACACTTATCGCATCGCTGATTTAAAGGAAGCGAGCGGCGAATTTAAATCAATATAGACCAGTTTAAAATTACTTGATAACAAGGCAAAGGGATGATGAAATCAACACCAGTGTGAATCTATACGAGCGTGCGGACCGGCCGCGCCAGCCAGTATCGTGTGACGCCGCGCCGGCGAAAGTGCGCGCACTCGAAGACGTTATAATCGTGTTCTTATTTTCTTTATTCGATTTTTTCTGTTCTTCGAGCGCGGGAAAATGGCTTGTCCAATGAGGTGAGTTTAATTAGTTTTTTTTACGTTTTTTTATCAAAGATAAAGGTGCCATTTTTCAATTTATCTGAAGAATTTGTTTTTGATTTAAATTAATTAATTATATCTAGTTTTTTATTTACATTTAGATATGTATAATAGCAATATTCATTTATGTACTTTAAATAGATCAAACAGTCCGAATTAGTTCATGATAAAAGGGATGCCTAGGATTTTTGGCTGCGTGTGCGGAACGCTTACTAATGTTAAAACTGGCAAAGCGATAAAAATATTTAAAATAGGTATTTGACATTCCACCGTTAACAGCTAAATAGGTATTACAGCTTACAGCTAAATTACATTATTTCATTCATAGTCATGCGTATAATCAATTCCATACAGTGCTACAATCCAACGAACCAACTAACTAATTATTATTATTTATAAATAAAACCCTTTATATATGTAAGGTTACTAAAATATATCCTATGTATTATAAAATACCTTATTGATTAACATTCAACAATTATAATGCCTCGTCATAATAAATAATATAACACAGGAAATAAGTAAATCCTTAATATTACACTTAGCGTGAGTTGTGCCACCTTACTATAACTTTAACTGTTATACTACAAAACGTTGACTAAACCTGGGTCAAAAATGATGCTGTCACATTATTTGCTAAAAAGATGAAAAAGACAGTGCTAGCTTTAATCCATGACTAACTTTAGTTCGCATTTTGCTTGAGACCGGTGAGATTCCATAAACATAAAATTTAATTTAACAACAGTGTATCCTTGTCATTCTCTATACAGAATGAAAAGGAGACACTGATTTTAAATTTAGTTTTAAGTTAAGAGAATCACGCCAGGCTTGACACCATTGTTCAGTTAGAGTACCGTTTGGGTAAAAAATGGGTTCCACCATTTGATGATAGCCAAAATTAGGTAATTTAGAGACTTAGGTGACAGTTCATCGGTAAAATATTTAATCCTTGTATGAATCGTCGCCCTTTTGAACTGTAAGGTCTCGAATCATTCATAAAATATTTCTCATTAAATACTTATAATGTAAAAGCATAAATAAGACGCGGCTAACATAATTGGTTAGTGCGTCCACCCCGAAAAGCGGAAGCGAATCCTGTCTAATGCCTGGACCGCGTGGAATATTTTCTAGTAAAAAATTCATTTCGCATTGTCAAAAAGTTATCAAATCTCATGTAGAGCCAAGCTTCTAACTCTACACGTCCTAACTCTACAAGGCCTAGCTTCAGAAAGTCTACACCTTAGTTAAAATATGTGGCTTGGCCATTTCACTACATTCACATGGTGAAAATTATATCCACTGTTCATTACTTTTCTGTTATACAATATTTCTTGTAGTAACAAAACGGTTATCAAGCCACATGTTCCACTATAGCCTTTCCCGATATCTTCGCCATCCAACACAAAAATAATTTATTATATCGGACCATTAGTTTCTGCGATTAGCGCGTTCAACCAAACAAACAACTCCTATGGATGGAATAGGCAGATAGGGCCGTGACCCACCACGCCTAGTGTGGATTGGTGGGCGCTAAGTACTGCGCATGCAGCCGGGACCAACGGCTTAACGTGCCTTCCGAAGCACTATGCACTCAAGATAGTAAATTTTTGGACACCAATCCAATGACCGACCACTGTGATAATTGCTTAACTTCAAGCGCAGCGAACGCTAACCATTTGCACAATCGAGCTCCTCTAACAAACTCTTCAGCTTTATACATTTAATGGCATAGCATAACAAATTTTCCGATTGAATGGAAGTGCCCGACTGAGGAGGTAACATTCACTTTCCAGAAGATCTAGTAAATCATCATAACCTTCATCAAAATTATCAAAATACTGTTTTTTCATCGATGGTTAATCCAACTATAGTCAAAACATTGACAATTAGTAAAAACTACTAATATACGTAATTTACGTAGTCTTTAGTGATGTAAGTTTGCTATGCGATATTTAAATATAATTATTCACGGAAATGTGTTAGTCGAGCGCTTTCTGTATCAAATTCGTATCATTTACTGTAGTAGTAGTAGTAGTGCGAACTGCAGATAAGCTAGGACCAACAGCTTAATGTGCCAGATAGTATTCTTATTCACCCATCCGATCACGGCGATTGTGGAGGATGTTGAGTTTACAATGAAATCCTGAGTAACCTAATCTATAATCAATAAATAATCAGAATATTTACTCTTTACTTATCAATTTAATTTAATGTGTATGTTATTTTATATCATAATTTTTTGTTGTCAAAATCCTTAATATACTTATTTAAAGATTTGGTTTTTTTAATCATACTAGTAATACTAAAGTTCCCAAATATTTAAAAGGTTTGTTTTAGTTCAGAGTTACAGCAACTGAAATACATGCATAATAAGGTAATTATTATAATAAAAAATCAGCCCTATGCAATGCCCCGTAAAATAACAAACGTATATAAAAAGATTTATGTCTGTCTGTCAAGTTATTTTTGTCCATTATAATGCGATTCAACTAACAACAGGACCGACTGGGCGCCATATTTTGACGTCATACTTGTCAATTCATACCAAATAGGTAGAGTGAGCAAAAAAATTTTGCAATTCAACAAAACTTATTTACTATGATTAAGTGAGACAAAACATCAGATTTTTTAATAAAATTAATTTACTAAGGTTGAGAAAGAACACAACCGATTTTTAATAGTATTTCTTTATTAAGACTGTGTGAAAAAAAACATTAATCAGAATCAAACTCTTCAATTTCGCTCATCTTTGCATTACCTCCGGAGAAGTTATGAATAATCATGTAGGTCACATACGAACATGCATCCTATATATAAACGAAAGTTTTAAATCGAGTTTCTAAACGCAACATAAAGTGACAATTGGTTGACGATTTAGGTTATCAACCATTCATAGCCAATACTCAATAAGTGAAAAAAAAACAAATAATATTAATTATCAACATTTGTTATTGTTTGTTTAAAAATGTTTGGTTTTTATTCTAGAATCAGCTGAGTGCTAAAAAAGTGTTTCGAGATTTTTTGGCAAACCGTACTTTTCAAGCGACATTTGACAGATGGAGGTCATTGGCTTTCCTATACTTATTTGAATCGCATTATATATCTCTGATTTCGACTCGATACTGGTTTTACTAGTCAGTAAGCAATTTATACAAAAAAGCAGATACAAAGCGTTTTTGCTCGGCAAAATTGGTTCCAGAAAATTATAATTATGTCGGTTTTGATATTTATTAAATAATAAAAAGAAAATAAAAAAATCGAGTATAAGGACTTTAAGCTGAGATATTAATACCTATTTTAAAGCCAAGAAAGTCGAGTAAAACCTGAAATAGGCGAAAAATTTTAATTAAGATGAAAGATTATCATCATTTCATTCGTCAAATAAATATTATATATATCTAAATATTTTCAAAATACCTGAAAGTAATATGAATTTGCTATTTATAAAGTCATGGTAGATATTTATCTATTTATTTTCAGAATTGTCATACAGAATACAGATATCACTCGGCTCACATATTTATACAGTGAGCTGATAAATAGTAGATTGTTAACCGAGGGTGGAAAGAATCAATTCCCGAGGTATTTAGACGCCCGAGCGCAGCGAGGGCGGCTATAGTCCGAGTAGGAATTGATTCTTTTACCCGAGTTAAACACTGTACTTTTCATTTCGAATATGAGGAAAATAAAACTAGTTGTTTATCAAAAATATTTATTCAAATATAGGTACAATAAAATTAGAAGTAGCTATTTAAAATTAATTGTCATATTAGGACATTAGTGAAATTAAAATTACATTCTTATTTGGAATGTTTATGCTGTTTGATATACTATTAGAAATTTGGCTGTTTTGGATATCTGTAAAAGTAGGAGACTCTGTTATTTCATCAAACGATGGATTCCATGGCGGATACTCCCTGGAAGTTTGAAGAAGAAGTGAAGAAGAAATACACTTTCGGAAAACGATTTTATATTCTTCTCTGCTCGCCACTTTATAAGATCATTGTATGTATTCATATACAACATAACAGTTTAGTATCCCGCTAATTTATGTCGACTTTTTAAATTTAAATATGGAACAGCGTAATTGTTGCGGCTTATTCCACACTGGCTGTCTAGAAACTCACATGGCATCATATTTTTTTTTTACATAAAACTCTTCACACCTGACAGTAGTTCTATTTTTAAAGTTCATTCCGGCCCTTAGGCGGGAAGTAATTTGTATGAGTTTTTCCATCTCTAGGGAGGGAAGCAGCATTTTCCACCCAACAAACAGATCAAAACAACACCACTTTCCGGGAATGAGAAATGAAAAAGATTTTTTGTATTAACTTTACATGGATTATGTTTGTACCTACTTATTTACACAATCCAAAGTGCAACTACCAAAAAGTTCCTTGAACTCTTTACGAATGGCTCCCTCCGTTTTTTAAAGATACGTACCTACCTACTTTGTGTCTTAAACTCTCTTAGCAACTAGGTCGTCTGAAAAGTTTCCGACCTAACAAAGAAACAAGACATTTTGTTTCCATAATCAGTTTCATATTTCAACATAGTCTCCTTTTAAGTCTATACACTTTATCCAGCGATGCTCTAACCTTAAATGCCTATTTTGAGGAGAAAGACGACAACTATTATTTGGAAGGGTTAATCCAAATAATAGTTGTCGTCTTTCTCCTCAAAATAGGCATTTACGTATGCAATAACGTCCTCTTCTGATGAAAATCACTTTGCGCCAAGTGACACTTTAAGGTTAGGAAACAGAAAAATGGCTGATTTTAGTGAAAATTTCTCAATGCATGCGTAAACATATTTCCTAACTTATATTGATAAATGCTGACATCATCAGGTTGAGGTCGGAAACTTTTTACACAACCTTCGTAGGCAAAGCCCACACCGCAAAAGCTATATAGATGGATTTGAGTATGTATGAAGACAAGGAAGCTCAAAGGTGCAGTGGTTAGGGCGATGGGTCTGCGACTCGCAATGGCTGGTCATATTTAAGATGAGCATGACGAAGATTGATTTAGAGCTCTTCCCTATTTCGGGAGGCACGGTTTGGTCCCGGTTGCATAATATGTTGATCTGCTTTATTATCTGTTTTGTATAAAAAAGGTTTTTTTATTAAAGTTAGAAAAGTGAGTACTGTTTATAAAGTTAATTTATAACTACCCGGTTTGTTTTTTGTTTATTGTTGTTGTGGTTGTTGAAAAAAAATAGATCACATGTTTTACATATTTCGTCATACAATTCATCTTTCTGCTTGCTGCTGCTCGCGTGATCTGTGTTTTGTTTAAAATAACATTGTATGTATTTTTCTAGTAAATCTTGTAACTTATTATTTTCTTCACGATCGAACTTATTGTTTCTTTCTCTGGAAATTGCCAATAATAAAGATATATTTATCCATAAAATCTGGAGTGGAGAGGTAGAATTCTGGAGCATTCTGCTGTAAACCGTCGAAGTGTGCGGATATGTCGTCTGTAATTATTATTATAAGTACTGCTAATTTGGATTTGAATAAATAAGTTGTTGATTTCTGAAGGAGTTTCCTTACAGTAGTTATTAAACTTGAAGGCGTTTGTAAATAAAGAGGTGCGTCGGTATTCTACTAGACAAACAGATGTTCACTTTAATCAGCATCAATCAATATGATTGTAACGTCAACACTTCATTGTGGCTAATAATGTTTCAAACTCCTACAATATGAGCAAAGAATCTATGAATTGGCGTCAAAAGAGTGGGCTGGGTGGGCCGTAAAAATAGACATAATAACAATTAAAGTCCTGAAAGTCTATTCTAAATTAGTATTGATGTTGAATTGAAATCGGATGAGTGAAGTTAGGTACTACTGCGATTATCTCTAATTACCCCTAAGTCGTATGAATCTAACCATCCCTTTTCATAGAGCATTAGATAAATGTCCCTTTGAAAGAAATATATTATTTTAATGAAAATGCTTATAAGAAATATCGATCAGATAGACTAAGAAAATATAGGATTTTTTTTAATTCTTTTTGTCGATTTTTTATGGTCCTACAATATTTTGTAAAGAGCCCGAATTAGCATAAAAAGTATCCCGAAATATCTCAAAAGCCCCCGCTTAGTTTAATGATTAAAATAATAAGTTATTGAATGACGAAATATGTAACACATGTGATCTCATTTTTTTCCCATCTACATTAATGTAGAGTTCCTTAAATAAACTGAATTCGTTAGAAGTAGTTAAACCAATTGCACGGTCACGGCACGGTATGTTAAATAATAGAAAACTATAAATTGTCTGTCACTTTGAAGATTTAAACTGAATTAGACAAAAGTCAGTTTTGTAAAATAAAAAATTACAACCAGGTAATTATAAATCCAATTTATAAACAGTACCTACTTTTCTAATTTAAATAAAAAAAACTTTTTTTTACAACAGATAATAATTTTGGCTCCTTTGTTTTCATACATACTCAAATTCCTCTTTATCGATTTTTCAGTGTGGGCTTTGGCGTACAGATAGATGCGCCAATTAATTTCGATGAGCGATCAATTTTTATCAAGAACAGTACATATCTACTGCAACTTATAAGCAATAGTAACTATCTAGTTGCTAAGGGAGTTTGAGACACAAAGTAGGTAGGTCCTTATCTACAAAAATTGGAAGCAGACAGTTGTAAAAAGTTCCTTGAACTTTTTTGGAGCGCATTTTTAGATTGTGTAAATAAGTAGGTACAAACGTAATCCATGTAAAGGTAATAAAAAAACTTTTTATCAGCTCACTGTATAAACATGTGTCCCGAGGGATATCTGTATTCTGTACGACAATGCTGAATATAAATAGATAAATATCTACCATGACTTTGCAAAAAGCAAATTTATTTTAAATATAATGAAAAGCAATTTTTAATTTATTTAGAGATAACATTGACGAATAAAAATGAAGATAATGACCTTTCATTCTATTTTTAGAATTTCGCCTATTTAGAAATTTAGAAAATTGCCGCCCAGGTTTTACTCGACTTTCATGACTGTTAAATATGTAGTTATGCCACTGCGAGCTTCTTAATACTTGCCTTATTTTTTTTTGTAAAATAGTTACGCCAGCCTCCAATATCTCAGAGCTCCTTATATCCTTATACACGACTTCGATATTTTTTAATATTTCTTATTATTACTTAATAAATATCAAAACCGAAATAAAATTGTCTAGAACCAATTTTGCCGAGCAAAAATGCTTCGCACCTGAGCCTCTTTTTTATATAAATTACTTACTGACTGGTTAAACCAGTAGCGAGTCGACATCCGAGATATAATGGACACAATTAACTTGACAGAAATACATACATCTTTTTATATAATATTGTCATTTTAGGGTACATTGCATAGAGCTTGATAAGGGCTGACTTTTAATCTGATTTTTTATAATATTTACCTAATTTTTGCATGTGCTGTATCTCTAAACAAAGACAAACTTTTTAAATATTTGTGACATTTATTATTTATTTTTTTTGACTAGCACGATTTGTTTAAAAAATACGAAATCTATACAATTATAGATTGTATACATTTTGATGTCAAACATATTTATTAAAATATGTATGTTAAGAATTTTGACATCAAAACTTATGAAAAAGAAATAAAATACAAATTAAAATAAATTGATTAGTAAATAGTTAAATCAGATATCAAATTATTTGTAATAAATAACCTGATTAATTAATTCATTATGGATTAGGTTACTAAGGATTTTATTGTGAACTCAACTACTTTTGAATAAGAATACTACCTCGCACGTTAAGCTGTTGGTCCCAGCTTATCTGCACTTCGCACTGGCAGTAAACGATACGAATTTGATACAGAAAGCGCTCTACTAACACATTTCCGTGTATTACATTACAAACTTACGTCACGAAAGACGACGTTAATAACGTAAGTACATAACACTTATCAAAATAAAATGATTTAATAACAAGGCGGCTCAAACTTTTGACTTTTCTTCTTCCTACAACCCGTATTCTTTGGCCAACAAGGACTGATCTGAACTTTACATCAGCTCCTACCTGATGTAAAATTCAGAAGTCTTTCTCTACTTACTACTAGATGAGTTTGATCAAAATGATGATTAGATGGTGATTCGATGGTGTATAGGGAAGGTACTACACAGTTCCCAAATACTTTTCTATTGTAACTCTTAAAGATATTTTAGTCGATACTTGGCCAATGGCAGCGATGCAAATGGTACAAGAGGGCGTAAAATCTACAAATAAAATTCAAATACCATTACTTTATTTCCATATAGTATTACATTATATATAACTAATAAATATGAATAGGAAATAGGAATAGGCACAGCTCAGATGGTTTTAAACCTACCCATCATCAAAAATTTTAGTAAATTTTTGTGGTTAGTTTTATAAATTCTTTATTTATATACTTGATAAAATTATTAATAGCCAATTAAATAATTAAATATATTAATTACTATGTCAATTTATTCAGTTAGTTGTCATTCAAATCATAAGTCAATTCAATTTTAAGTAATATTTATAATGTCATTTTTTTTAAACATGCATTCATTAAATCTAAGCGCCATAGCGATACAAAAATAGTTTTAGATTTGAATAGTTCCGAGTTCTATTGTCGTGTTATTTACAGATCAGCGCTGGACGACATCTCGGCCCAAGATGGCGCGCACCTGGGCAACGAGGCAGGGATGCTTTACGGGGAATACCTGATGCTGGACAAACTGCTCGGAGCACAGCGGATGCTTAGCGCGGAGTCTTCGAAGCCCGTTCATGACGAGCATCTGTTCATTGTAACACATCAAGGTAGGTTCTTATAAGACCAAATGTAATCAGGCCTTAAGCCGTTAACGCAGGACAGGCTGGGCCCCGGTGAGACGGCTAGAACAGAGATAACAATAACCAAACCCGACCTTAAGTATAATCAAGCAACTTTGACGATGGCGATAAGATTACGGAAATAGGAGAAAAAGATCGAGCGCGTCAGACATTGAGAAGCGATGTTACGTATACCTTCTTGTATATTCAAAAGACCTAGTCAAAAAACTGACGATTTGAACCAAAGACCATGGCGGATTGATAAATATTTTTTAACACGTTTTATTAGGTCGACTTGAAACTATGTAAAAAAATCTAAGAATCTGTATAACACGCACTTCTAATATTTGTAATATCATGGTCAATAATATTTAGATTAGATGACAATAGTAATCGGGTGTGGGTCAAGAGATTAAAACACGTATACTGATTTTAAAAGTGAAAATCTATTGCATGTTTGAAACATTGGTTTAGCCCGACTTCGAAATCATACTAGGACCCGCCCGATTTTATGTGAATTTTGTACTGTTTAATTCAATTTTCAACTTTGAAGTTGGCTTTTATTATTTGTTTAATTTTTTTATTTTTCAACTCCTAATTTAAAAAAAAACCTACACAAAGTGTCGTGAAAATTACATCGTCTAAGTAAACAAAAGTGCTCTAAAAATAAAAGCTACTGAGTGAAACTTAACTATTTTTTGTGACTAAATGACAAGTATCTCCTATACCAGGCCACTCAGAAAGTTTTTCAAAAAAATGTTTTTATGCACCTATAAGACACTGGCCACTTGTAATTGAAAACTTTGATTATTTAAAAGTAAAAATACCACTGTTCGATTTTCAAATTTCCCTCCGCATTTTTTCGAGAGCCAATTAGAATTTTCTTGTCTCATTAAAATATGGATCTGCATCAAGAAAATTTTAAAGCTATGATTTTTTACGATTTTATATGTAGCTTAAAACCTGATGAGTTATTTGATCGATTTCGTCAGTGGCGGCCAGTGGCGGCGACGTCGGCCAACGCCTGAGGGGGCCTCGCAAAAAGTTTTTAGAAGTTACCTATTTGGTTTCGTTTCTCCCGGCCTGGCTTAGGTAGCCGACCCCAAACAATTCGGGGAAAAACCTAAGCAGATGATAATGACTTTTGGAACGAAGTTCCTTACGGCAGGCTTGGAGGGGATAGGGATTTTGCTGCGCGACCGAACAAAATAAAATGTGATAGTAAAACCGTAAGAAAAAATCCGTGGAAAAAAGTGCGTGGAATAAAACCGTTAAATGAGACTTGCGCAGGCGCGACAGTCGCACACACAAGCGAGTTTGTAATTTAGGGGGATAGGGATTTTGCTGCGCGACCGAACTGAAAAAAATGTGATAGTAAAACCGTAAGAAAAAATCCGTGGAAAAAAGTGCGTGGAATAAAACCGTTAAATGAGACGTGCGCAGGCGCGACAGTCGCATACACAAGCGAGTTTGCAATTTGTGTCGATTCTACATTAGCCGAAGGAACTTCGTTCCTACCTGGTGTCCCACGACACCACATCATTTTATTATTATTTTCGAACACGTGCGTGATGGAAGCGATTAGAACTTTACAGGTATTCAGAATCCTCTGTCTGGCAACACTATTTTTGTAATTAAATGTCTATGTTTGTAATTATTTTTTGTCATCATTTGATTATCTATACTTATAATAAATCTGTAGAGAGGTCAATTCTGTACATGAAATATATTTTCAAAATAACTATCAGGGGGTGATTAGTGATCGATACTGATGCCAAAAATGCAATCAGTAAAAATTTTGTCTGTCTGTCTGTCTGTCTGTCTGTGTGTATGTTCCTTATAGAAACAAAAACTACTCGACGGATTTTAACGAAACTTGGTACAATTATTCTTCATACTCCTGGGCAGGTTATAGTATACTTTTCATCACGCTACAATCAATAGGAGCAGAGTAGTGAAGGGAAATGTTGGGAAAACGGGAGAAGTTACTCCATTTTTTCAGCTTCCGTCGCGTGTGGAGCCTTAATGGTTAAAGTTACATAGAAATTATGTATGACGGAAATATTCTACATAAAATTGTCTAAAAAATATCCCGCAACAGCATATGTCTATCTTTTATGGTCGACTCACAATAACACGTGTAACTCCTGATAGTTTAGCAGTTCGGAGCATTCCGATTATATAACGTAAATATGAGAATTTTAGTTTGATTATAAATACAGGTAATGAAAATGACCGTTTTTATCTATATATGTATATAAAAGTCAAAGGGGACTGACTGACATAGTGATCTATCAACGCACAGTAGGCATGCGTCCGATATATCAAAACGAATCCAAAATCCGATTTCAAACACAAATCGATACCGAACGATTTCTCAACAAGAAAATCCGATTTCAGAAATCTAACCGAACCAAAACCAAATACCACAAGTATCCAAATCTAAATCGGATTCGAAATTCGTGCTTTCGTTTTCGGAAGTAAGATTTCGTGCTCGGAACTCCGATTTCGATTTGCTGTTTACGGAAATCTATTGCTGTTCTCTGAGGCGGGATTATTTATCACTGAAAAGATATGTCGTCTAAAAACATCAAAAGTCGAGCAACTTACATTTTTGGACGCTAACCTGAAGTAATTAGGTTTGATTTTGTAAATGGTTTGAAAAATAATAAAAACAAACAGAATAACAAATAAAAATACTAAAAAATATGTAAAAAGAAATCATTGTATAAAAGCCGATTTTTAAATGCGCCGCAAAAGTTTTACTCTTAACCGTAAACATAACTTTTCTGCTAGTCCTAAGCCTAGATTTAAAGCATGAAGGAAAATCGCGAATATCTACGAGTATCCTTGCTTCCTACAATTAATTGTTTGTGATTGTCGTTAGCTAATAAAACCAAATCATAACACAAACTAGTGAATTGGCTAAGTTCAGCACATCTGAAATCGGATATTTAAAAACGGATTTTAAAATCGATTTTGAAATCTGAAATCCGATAAATATCCGTTTGCGTTCAAAACCAAAAACGCCCATGTCTAACGCACAGCCCAAACCACTGGACGGATCGGCCTGAAATTTGGCATGCAGGTAGATGTTATGACGTAGGCATCCGCTAAGAAAGGATTTTGATTAATTCTACCCCCAAGGGGATAAAATAGGGAATGAAAGTTTGTATGAAACTTTGTCAATTTTAAACCAATCGGGCTGAGACTTTGCATGCAGGTATAAGAAGAATCATAGATGAATGTCATTGTGTTTAATACAAGCCTGAGAAAACAAACTATAGTGTACACTTCAGCTCTACACCGAAGCGAAGCGAGGGCGGGCCGCTAGTCAACAATAAAACTCTCTTACTCATACGTTATTTTATAATTTGGCTCACCTAATTTAACGGTTTTTTACTGCGAAGTAAAATAGGCCTCGCGAACTTGATGTCGCCGACGTCCACATGAGGTCTAGCGCCGCCACTGTCTACCGCTGGTGTAGCGAGTTCAAAAGCGGTCGTCTTACTTTGGGGGATGTCCTGCGACGGCTGTCACCGAAGAAAGTGTGCTGGCAGTAAAACTTTTAATTCAAGAAAACAGATGAATTACGTACTAATAGATTCAGCATACTCTGCAGATTGATTCAGGAATTGTTCACAAGATTTTGCATGAGCACCTTTGTGTAAGGAGGATAGTTTCCCGCTGGGTGCCGCATAATCTCACCAAAGCAAGCCCGTGTGGATTGGTGCAGTGATATGATACAAAAATTTAATGCAGGCTCGTCACGTCACATCTCTAAGATGTTAGCTGATGCTGCAGCATCAGCATTTTGTCCTCAGCCGACGCACTCGCCTCTCGAGCGCGCCAGTCACTCCCGAACCTCCGTGACGGCTGCCAATTTACTTTAATTTTAATTTTAATTTTAATTTTATTAATTCCTTTTTTTTAAAACGCCAATTCCGAGGCTCGATATAACAGCGCGTTTAAGATATTGTGACAGGTGAAGGATCCTGGATTTATCAATAGGCTCCAGAAACAAAGTGTCAGCCGACAGTTTGGCTGTTTCAAAATGAACCAACGCCTACGAAAGTGAAGCGATCGAGGAGCGCAGGGAAAATTTTGTTCGGTAGCTTCTTCACTTTGACGGGGTACTTAATTTCAATTCTACGTCGAAACCAAAGCAGCATTAACGCCGAATGGTTCCTGGACTCCACACCAGTCAGAGTCTTGGGACAGCCTCCTTACAGACCTGATTTGGCTCCTTTTTATCCCTTAAAATAAAAAAAATATTCAAAGGTATACAGTTTTAATCACCGGAAGAAGCTGTAGCAGCGTTTGAGAAGGCCGTGGAAGAGGTGTCTGCGGAGGACTGGAAAAAATGATTTGAAAATTGGTTCAGACGCATGAAACTTTATATAGAGGCTGGTGTGGAGAGTTCTTTGTAAAGATTTAATAAAAATTATTACACCCCCCAAGTTAACAAAAACGCCAATAACATACAAAATATACGGCGCTAAACTTATTAAATGTTTATGTGACGAAATGGCACCTATTCTGCAACGGACAAAAAAAAACACGTCGAATCTCAGCGTAATCGGAGTACATTCAAAAAAATATATGTACCGACCGAATTTAGGAACCTCCTCCTTTCTGAAGTCGGTTAAAAAGTATTTTGTATTTTGCAAATACAAAATAAGCCTTTACAAGAATTTCAAATAAAATGGAAAATGCTTTTCTAAAAATGTATTTAAATATAAAATGGAAATAGGTATTTTTTTACAACCAACTTAAAAGTGGCGTCGGATTGGTGTCATTTAATGTTCAGTTATTAATTTATTTTATTTTTATTTCCAGCCTATGAACTATGGTTCAAGCAGATAATTTTCGAAGTTGACTCGGTCAGGTCCCTGCTTGACGTAGAGGGCTTGGACGAAAGTCACACCATGGAGATTCTGAAGAGGCTTAACAGAGTTGTGCTTATTCTAAAGGTAAGTTTATTTCTTTTATAACGGCAATCTTTTTAATAATTTGCCTATTACTTGGGAACCTATATCTTGTGTATGTATATTGCTAGACTAGTGGGTGCCTGGTTTCAGGACCTCTATAGATAGATATTTTATAAATAAAAGGAGTTTTATTCCATGACTAAAATCTTCTAAAGAGATTCATTCGATTTTCACCGCAATGATAATGATGTTTTGCAAGAAGGAGTTTGTTTGTCATTAAGTTCTTTACTTATCTGGACAACTACCTATCCGGTTTATAATAATGCCATAAATCACTTGAATTCATAACTTCATCTTACACTATTATCATTAGCTCCATTCAATGATAAACAATAAATATTATTACACATAAATTTTACAAGTCATATAAATTATGTAATTATTTAACTTACTTACTCTGGGCGTACCAGTTTACTGGAACAATAGTAAATAATCTGCCCTAAAAATTTAAGGAATAAAAGAAATTTTAACTGTAATACCATTTTTATAGAAATAAACAGATTTTGAAAACATTAAGGCAGAAATAGACTTATGAAACGCGATGCGGCGTTTTCTATGATCAGTTTCCATAGCGTTTCTATGGCGTTAGCAGCCATTAGACATTAGTCTGCTGCTAAGCAGACTAATTGCAGATTGTTGGGATCGTAGCTGGAAATCCATGTTTCGACACAATGACTCTATGTCTCACACCATATTTGACGTGCCTTCTTTTGTTGAATCTGGTCCTTAGCGAGATTCCTCGTCCATGATTTGATCAGCAAAGCTTTGCATCAAAAAGTAACACGATCTGCTTTTTGAACTTAAGTTGTTTTTTAAGCATACAAACAAAGACCATTTGGGCTGAAAACTGTGCCAGGGCTTTTCCTTGATCATGAATTGTTCATGTTCATCTACAATGGCTACCATTTAAAGTACAGTAAAGTGAGCAAAAAAAGATTTTTTTAATAAAACTTATTTTCTAAGATTAAGTGAGAAAAAACATCAGATTTTCTTAATAAAATTTATTTACTAAGATTGAGAAAAAAAACAACCGATTTTTAATAATATTTATTTATTAAGACTGTGTAAGAAAAGACATTAATAAGAATCTAACTCTTCAATTCAGCTCATCTTTGCATTACCGCCGGAGTAGTTATGAATAATCATGCACTATTACTAGGTCACATACGAACATACATCCTTCGTGCATCCATTATGTAAACGAAAGTTTTAAATCGAGTTTCTGAAAGCAACTTAAAGTGACATTTGGTTGACGATTTACATTATGAACCATTCATAGGCAAAGCTTAATAAATGAATAAAAAGTATCAACCACTATTAATTATCAATATTTGTTATTGTTTCTTTCCAAATTTTGGTTTTTATTCTAGAACTAGTGGCCCGCCCTCGCTTCGCTTCGGTGTAGAACTGTAGTGTAAACTATAGTTTTTGTTCTCAGGCTTGTGCTATAAACAATAACTTTATTTATATAATTAATTACACGTGTTATTGTGAGTCAACCATAAAAGATAGACATATGCTGTTGCGGGATATTTTTTAGACAATTTTAGGTGGAATATTTCCGTCATACATGATTTCTATGTAACTTTAACCATTAAGGCTGCACACGCGACGGAAGCTTAAAAAATGGAGTAACTTCTCCCGTTTTCCCAACATTTCCCTTCACTACTCTGCTGCTATTGATTGTAGCGTGATGAAAAGTATACTATAACCTGCCCAGGAGTATGAAGAATAATTGTACCAAGTTTCGTTAAAATCCGTCGAGTAGTTTTTGTTTCTATAAGGAACATACACACAGACAGACAGACAGACAGACAGACAAAAATTTTACTGATTGCATTTTTGGCATCAGTATCGATCACTAATCACCTCCTGATAGTTATTTTGAAAATATATTTCATGTACAGAATTGACCTCTCTACAGATTTATTATAAGTATAGATTAGCAGAGTGCTAAAATAAAAAAGGGATCCAAGATTTTTTGCAAACCGTACTTTTCAAGCGACATTTGACAGATGGAGGATTCCTATTCTTATTTGAATCGCACTAAAAAAGAGTTTACGGATAAAATTAGATTTCAATCTAATCTAACGCCGATTTTACACAATCCCAAATACTCAGGAACTTAGAATATTGTTTTTTTTTTCAACAACACCACATACGCAACATAGATGATACCAGAGGCCGCGACTCCTGACATGGCTGGGACCCAGATAAACTGGTCCTAACTGGTGACGTACAATCAGTAAATGGACGGTTCTAAACTATAACAATTATCTAATATACTGATAAACAGTGACATAGCATAAGTAACTAGCTTGTTTTCAGGGTTCCGTACCCAAATGGGTAAGAACTGGACGGGACGGTTTCTAAGACACCAATGTCCGTCTGGCACCAAGCTGTACCTCATGAACTGTGATAGTAAGACAGTTGAAATTTTCACAGATGATGCATTTCTGTTGCTGAACAACAAATACTAAAAATAAAATAAACTAAATATTTAAGATGGGCTGCCATACAACAGACGTGATTTCTTTCCGTTTTTTGCTCGATACAATAATATACCTAGTGTCTAATGTTGTATAGATAATGGTACCAGACCTTCGTGCGCGAATCAGACTCGTACTTCTCTGTTTTTTTTCTGTTGTAATAACGTAATCTTGCGTGTGAAAGTATCATTAACTTTTTATAGGGTCATCAAATATATGATTTATGTACGAGAATTTGATATGTAACATAAAACAGAGACTTCAAACTTAGTTGCATTTGCACAGTTATTTATGTATTTATGAACCTCCAAATATTTTAAAGATAAGAAATGATTAGCAGAAAAAGTCGAATTCAGGTAATGAAACTCGAACTTTTAGAACAAAACTTTTTTTTTGACTAAAACCTAAACAGTTGACTATAGTTATACACTGATAGAAGTAACATTTACTGTAATTAGATATTTGCATGATCCATAAATCCACATCACAAACCTTTCTCTATGTTATTATATCAACATAGGAAGGAAATGCCCTAAAATCTATATAAGGATAGGAAAACTGGTTGGTATATTTATTAAACACTAGCGGCCGCCCGCGACTTCGTAGGCGTGGAGCTAGTTATAAGAACATACTTTTTGACCCCAAAAGGGAGTTTATTTTTATAAATAGATTATTAGTACACCTCTACACCATCTATAGAGCATACATGTTAAATTTCAAGTCTCTTACTTCAATAACATAGGACTTTCATACAAACTGCCAAGCCCCGTAGTTATAAGTAGAATTCGTTGAAGAAATAAAGGTTCACTGCTCGTTCCCCGTAGATGATAGCGTGATAATATGTAGCCTATATGTTGACCCGACTTTTTAGTAATATTCCTGCCAAATTTTAAGTAAATCCCTGGTGTACTTTTTAAGTTTATCCCGGACATACATACAGACAAATATTCTAAAAACTATATTTTTGGCTTCGGTGTCGATTGTAGATCAGACCCCAAGTATTCTTTTAAAAAAATATTTAATATACAGTTTTGACTTTCCTACCATTTTATTATATGTAGGTATAGATTTCTTGCACCAAGGAATAAACTAACGAAAAAGCAGTATCTAAATTATCCGTATCTTCATCAAAGGAAGTTAAAATCGGTCCCCTTGAGTTCCGTATATTATATAACATGTAGATGAAAGTACCTTATCCATACACATTATACGTATTCACCAATGGAGGTACTTACATATCAAATTACGAAGTTCCCGCGTCCGACTGAGTCACTCTTTCACGGCCATGACTTTGCTTTGCTTACGTCAGAATTTTACCGTTGTAATGCATTTGATGTATCTTTCAATAACACAAGAGAATAATGAGAAATGTTTATATAATACGTAAGTGCCATACGTATTATTAATGAATGACGCACACATTAATAGAAAGTTATGTATGCTTGATTTTTTTTCAGTATGGTAAAAAATACTAAGAAAATTAAAAATAAAAACGACTTTGTTAAATTAAAAGGCGGTAAAAATTAAGATTTCTTTCAAATCCTATAAGTATTTAAATAGTAATTGGAATGTACGATCGAACCAACTGATTCCTGACCCATTTGCCCGGTAATTCGCTTGAAAACGTCAAAACAGACAATTATCCCTTCATAGAGAATGCGTGCACTTAGGACCTTCTAATAACATGGAAACTCTGTTAATATGGATCAAAGATATTTGAAATTTGACCTTTATCTTCAATGCAATAGATCATATTTCGAAATCACTTTTAAATCGTAAATTTAACAGAAACTCTTTCGATTACTAACATTATAACAAGTTGGTAAATTAGCCTTAGAGAAATTCATAGTCCATCCATGGGCAAAACTCAAAATTATTTAATGTCAAACTCATGTCACAGGAACGCGCCAAAATCTGTCTGTAATAAGCAAAAATCTACCTTATTGTTTTTAAAACGAAATGACTGTAACAAAATGGGCTTATGGTGGGTCAGGAATCAAATTGGCTGATTGTAGGTACATTACGAAGTAAATTAACAATATTTTGAGTTTGTGCCGACTGAATTATAGAAACAATAGGCAACTCCATGGCACGATTGAAATCTTTGCATGGCACCGACTTAAAATTTGTAAATTTTAGTTTATATATTTTTAATGGTTTTACTTCTTATTTGTATTAGTAAAGTAGTTATATACTTATAACTATAAAAAGATAGGTATGAGAGGACCGATTAAACATATCCTGTCCAAATTTCATTTCGGCCGCACCGGTTGTAACCCATGTTGAAATGTGTAAGTGTAAAAAAAGAAAAAAAAATAATAACATTACTTTACAAAATATAGTAACGAAAATATTATAATAACTCTTCGCCGTGTGGCTGGATAATCCTTTTGAGATAATAAGTACCCAGTAAAGCACGACCTTTAGGATAAGAAGATGACTAGAATAACAGTAATAAATAAGCAACAATGCATATTTATAAAAGATAACAATTTCAATCGTCTGTTGCTATTGAGCGAAAACATAAATATTTTGGATTTTAACATCGCACATAGGTACTAACTATATCTACTGCTTACGAAAATTTTTGCATCTTTTGCGTATAGATTAAAGTATGATGTTTGCAATTTATCTATTGTATGACTGATATAAATATTGTTATTATAAAGACATTTTTATGTTATTCTCCGACGCACGAACGTGTAACAAAGAAAACGAATCTATCTATAAAAGATAAACTTAATTTTCATCTTCGACAACTGCGACTATGGTGTCGATTCTAGCAGGATTCTCTTAACCCTAGATTCATAAACATACTTGGGAGATACACTATTCATAAACATTCGCCTCTCAGACGTATATATATGTAATTTCGATGATATTAGATCTCTATAATAAAATTATTCAATAAAATACATTTGAATTTTAAAAGTTGATTATTAATTAATAGTAAAATGAAACAGAAATGATGAAAAAAAAATATTCTGTGCAATCAACACATAACATTCCTCGGTGATCCATACACATGAACTTTTTGCATTGGTTACAAAAGAACCTTGTCATTCGACGTTTTTTATAATTGCAGAAAGCACATTTTTTTTCTGTGATCCACTGGGTTGTGGTTGAGCAGTGGACGAAGTTTCGCCAAGTACTTCTGCAATTTTCCTTTTTAGACATCGCTTCAAAGTTGGCATTATTACCCCCTACAACCTCACAAAATTTACCTCTTCATAATATTAGTACAGATAAAATAGGTTAATATCTCATTTCATCTTTATAAACTAATAATAATAATAAATATTTACCTTGAAATATACTCCACTTCTCGAATATATCACGGCTTCAAATAAACACACCTGATCTACAATAGTAACACTATTCATAAACATTCGTCTGTCGGACTATCTAATTACTATAACTCTTTTTACATATGTGCGCCCTGGCGTGTGACTGGCGCAAATTTAATTAATTAATGAACCAGGAAGGTACTAAGGAGTTGAACTTTCTATCTCTTTCACTCTAAAAGTTATAAGCGTTTACGTGATTTTTGCGGTCTGTGAGACGAATGTTTATGAATCTAGGGTTAAGAGCTCTTTTACAAAATTGCGCCGCTGCCGTACTGTACCCCTAGCACGAACCAATATCGAATTCGTATCGTTTGCTAGTCCGAAATGTCAGTGTCGAATGTGTACTAATTTTTAGTTCTCGTTACGTACTTTGTGCTGTTCAAGTTTCCATACAAAATTTGACATTGACATTTCGGTTTGCAAACTATTCGAATTCGTTAATGGTAATAATTTAGGTAGTAATTAATTTGATTTAATTTATTGAACATTAATGAGAGATTGAGGCGTTTGAAGTTGTGCATGTTATCATTTTTTCCGTAAACTAGCTGCAGCAGATCGATCAGTACAAAAAAAAGGAAATAAAGTATTTGCAAATATTCTACATTAACTAACAATAAGAAGAATGAATCTACTGTTTACTTCTTTTGGAAATAGTCAAAATCTTTTCTAAGGGGGTAAACGAGGCGCCTAAAAATTACGTTTTTTTGCAAAAGATGTGAAAGGGCTCTTAAGCTTAACTTAAATTTGACAACAGTGTATCCTTGTATTTCTCTATAAGGAGTAAATAGGAGAGATTAATGTTAAATTTAGTTTTGAGTTTAGAGAATCATGGCAGAGTCCACACCAGTGCTAATTTAAAACTTTGAAGTTAGTTAAGCTTTAACTAAGAAGTCGTTATTAATAAGCTTCATATTTTTCTTTGGACTTTATATAATATTATCGATATTATGTATATACAAAATGTTTGCAAGTGAAAGAAGGTTGGGATTACTAGCAGATTTTATGCTTAACACACATTTCGTTGGTATTGTGTTTTGGTCGATGCGTTAGATTTCCATACCAGGATTTCACAGGGTAGGGCAGGTAACTCGCAAGTATTCGCAATACTCTAGTATCCCAAGCGTCTGGCTATGATGGTTGCTAACCACTCACTATGTTGTTTGCCTTGTTGGACATAATTTTGCACAAAAAAGGAATCGGTATAATTTATGGGATATTGTTCAATACCCATTTATTTGTTTGTATTGTTTAATCAATAATTGTTTTTATTTCCAGCTCCTAGTAGACCAGGTGATGATACTGGAAACCATGACTCCATTAGACTTTATGGACTTCAGAAACTACCTGCGCCCTGCTTCTGGCTTCCAGAGCTTACAATTCAGACTTCTGGAGAATAAGGTAGTGTAAAATGGGAGGTTGCAGTAAGAAATGTCTTGTTTTGAATAATTTTAAAACAAGGAAGGGCCTATGATTGTGCCCTGGAAAACGCCCTTCTGAACAAATAAATGACATAGAATATCTTTAGTTTCTAAAAGACACAACTCAATAACATTTAAATTAGATTTAGAGTGTTTTGTCTGAACTCTCTCACTAATTATAACATTAGGTGGGATGGACTCATTTGCGTCCTAAAACCCCAAAAATCATCAAAGGTATTTAGCGGTTAGGGCCTTTTTTTTTGTTTGCAAAAAGCCTTACTCGTCCTTCAACCACTGGGAGAGCGAGAAAAAGGTATGTGGGACTCCTCCCTACCCACTTCAGCCAGCCCTGAGGCTCGCTGAAGTGAACAGGGCCCTACCGACGCCCTGAACAGGGCCACTAATAACCAGACAATATCCCTGAACCGTGTCACCCGTTCGACCTAGGATTGCATTTGCTAGGACCGCAGTCCCAACGATGCGGATCGGGAGTACGGGTGGTGTTGCGGTACCCTGTTCGACTGACCGCACACCCGCAATGTAGCTGTTTGGGCCTGACAAACGAGAACGGACACATCAGTTACTTCCCTCATTTAATGGTCTCATTTCAGTGCTCATATCAAATTAATTGCATACAAGTATAGTAATGGCATTTTGATTTACAGTTGGGTCTGAAACAAGCGCTCCGAGTGAAGTACAACCAGAACTACCAGACAGTGTTCGGAGATGACCCCGCGGCTATGGAGTCGTTGCACAAGTAATTACTTACATTAATCTTACTTGACCAACTTAAACCAGTTTGATTTTAAGGTTTTTATATCACTTACAGTAGGTCTGTACTCGTTGAGTGATAGTGAAAATAAAAAAAGTTGGTATAAAACAAATTATAAATTAATATCACCAAAAAGTTCGTTCTCCAAAATGTATTTCATTTTGTGGATTCTTTATTAACAAAAAAATTCAACTATGTTGGTTAGTTAGTAAAGTACCGTGACCCAGGTGTAGGTACAGTTTTTATTGTTCTAATACATTTTACTGACTGAAAACTCAGACGCGGACACATGGAAAAACATTTGTCAAAACAACTTATCGTAATTTTTCACTTAACTAGGAAATTTTGTTTTGTTAATAAATACCTATTAAAAACTTGGGTTGTAGATGCCATTTTCCGGCTAACGCTATAAATTGAGTGTGTAAAGTGACAATTCTTGGAATATAATATTTGCTAAAGATTCATTGGGAAATGAAACTAGAGCGATAAGTGTTTTAGGAAGTGAAATTTTACGAAAAATACTTTGAATTATTGGCAGTACACTTATATAGACAAATCTTGACATATATATACTCGTTAATAGTAGCTTGGGAATTCCAAGTAATTATTTGAAATTTGGATCCAGATCTGAAGAAGGTGGGATTTCCGAGTAATCATGTGAATTTTGACACCAGGTCAGAGGAGGAACCTGCGCTATTAGCTCTGATAGAGCGGTGGTTGGAACGCACACCTGGCCTCAACACGCACGGGTTCAACTTCTGGGGCAAGTTTCAGGCGGCCGTCGACAAAACCATCAGGGAGGATATCGATGCGGCCATGGTGAGACCATTTTTTAATTCTTTTTAATTTTATTGCCACACAAAAGGAAACAGCGGACTTAATTTCATGAGCTAAAGGGATATGAAATAGCGAGATTGCATGTTTCAAAATGGATAACTTTTTTTAATTTATCAAATCTTGAAAAGGCAAATTCGTAATCACCACTTAAAGATGAATAAAACGTCACTTTTGTTTAGAATTCGCGATGTCTCCATTTCGACTCCCAGGAATTAATAAGTACATACCTATAGAACTCATTTTCCTCTCTCATTCAGAACTCAGTCTTCTCCCTTCTTCCATCCATGCTTCCATCGGACGTTCAAACGTACGGTGGGTTAACATCCCTTCTTATTTGCCTTTTTGATCACTTCCATAGTAAGTATTTCTACCCATTCAAAAGTGTTTCATTAAATTTATTTAAATATCTCTTACATGAATCAACAGTGTATAACGAACGAGACGGTCCGCAGACACCGGCTTGCTGATGCAGAGAACCGTCGCGAGATCTATCGCTCCATATTCGACCCCCATGTTCACGATGCGCTAAGAAACAGAGGCGAAAGAAGGTATTTATAAAACTATTAAAAGTACATACACATACATTGTATAATGTCCTTAAAAAAATATTTTTTGATGTGTAACATCTTTCCTCTCGCTTTCCTGCAATTTGTGAATATAGATTTTGTTTGGTTTGGATTTTAGAACATAATGTTCAAATGGCTTATTCCTTTTGTAGTAGGTTTTATTTCTTTTTTTGCTAATATAATGTGAGGTTTCAATTATTACACATCATTCGCGACTACTCGCTCGTTTTTTTTCCTCTTCGGGTTATCGAAACTATTTTTTTATTCGAAAGCTTCTGTTGCGTTCGCTGCGTAAATGGTAAAAGTTACACGAAAATCATGTTTGGCAGAATTGTTTCCCTTTAAAAGTTCTTTTTAAAGGTTCCCGTTTTTTCCCTCGAATTAATACGGGTGAAACCGCAGTGCACCTCTAGTATAAAGATAAAACCAAAAATAACTATTTTTCCTAGCATTTATAAAAATTTTATATTATAGAAGAATAATAATACAGTTTACTCTCCGTTGAAATTTAAATTTTTGCTTGTTATCAAATCACTAATTTACACAAAAGCTTGTTCCGCAATTTCTTTACCACATACTTTATTTATTTTCAATGTTATTTTTGATTCGTTCAAATTTATTTACTTAATTAAATAGAAAACTAGTATTCCATTCAATTTCCTTCCGAGGACTGCATTTTGTGGTCCATACCAAGACAAGAAGTATGACTTATGTCCACAGAAAAAGCGGCTTAGTTGGTCACCGGGCGATTTGAATTATTATCGCTAATCTATTTAACTGTGCCGTATTTGCATCTTTGTCTTTTTTGTGCATTTGGGACTGTTTCTGCTTTAGTTAGTAGTATTATTTATTTGTACTGTCTGTGATAAGATAATATATTTTTAATGATGCGATTTTCAGTGAATCCAAAAAATAAATTAGCTGTATTCATTTTGGTACTTTTAAATTCCTATCGACCCATTTAAGACTGGTTCTTATAACAGGTCGATTAATGTATTTATACTTACTCTTATAACTCGAACAAAAAGTTTAAAGTACTAACCTAGTATTTTTCTAAGTTATTGCTTAGTTTTGTTTATAAAAAAGGAACTTTGAATACTCTAAACATACCTTTACATCCTAGGTAATATGTTGTCAATGTAATTTATTTAGTTCTTTATGATATTTTACCACGACCACCTTATTATGACACAAATGCTTTTGGTGTTTAGCTTGTTGTGGAAAAAATATTGTAATAATAAACACTTTATTATAGCTCACATACAAAAGGACATAGGTATAAAAAATACATTTAACAAGTGTTAATTATTACTTTTTCTCAATCAATGTACAGGTTGTCCCACAAGGCCTTGCAGGGCGCAATCATGATCACCATGTACAGAGACGAGCCGCGTTTCTCCCAACCTCATCAGTTGCTCACGCTGCTCATGGACATCGACAGCCTCATCACCAAGTGGCGCTGTGAGATTTTTTTTTTGTTTTTTTGATGTGTAACATCTTTCCTCTCGCTTTCCTGCAATTTGTGGGAGTGATTTCGTGAAATGGGACGGAGATGTGTAACAGGAAATTTGGGAAGCGCGCGCTATTTGATTTGATTTTAGGACATAATGTTCAAATAGCTTATTCCTTTTGTAGTAGGTTTTATTTCTTTATATAAGGTGAGGTTTCAAATGTTACACATCATACGCGAATACTGTAAGGCTGGCTCGTTTTTTTTTATTACACTCACGCCAATTAGCCTAGCCCCAAAGTAAACACTGTAAGGCTTGTGTTATGCGATGGTATAACGGATAGAATACATATACTGTACATATATAAGTATATTTAAATAGAAATACATATTAAACATCCATGACTGGAGTACATGTGTTCGTATTCATCACACAAACATCTGCCCCCAACGGGATTCGAACCCGAGACCTCTCGAGTCGGCGACACCATGAAACCCGGCGTACAAACCACTCGGCCATGGAGCTCGTCGAGTATTCTTAGATATGCCATGCCATATGTTCTTGGGCCTGTATTAATAGATCGGTTCAAACTCTGGGATTAAGATCTTGAGATACTGTTTTCATACAAAACAGCATCCCAAGATCATTTTCAAGATCGCTCTCAGAGTTGAGATCGATCTATTAATACGGGACTAAGAACATATGGCATGGCTGTGCTTTTATACTTGACTATGAATTGAGAATTATTTTATACTACCTGTGCCCGCTACTTCGTTCGCGTGGATGTCAGAAAAGTGTTATTGTTGCATCTAATGCAAACCTTTGCGCACTCGGTAAATGGAAACATCAAAGTGAACTAACGACTTTGTTCAACAACCTTTGATTAGACTCAGTAAACGAATGTTCTCTTGTTCTCGAACGAACACTTGCTTTTATAATTCCATATACCGAGCGAACAAATGTTTGCTCGCTCAGACAGAAGCTGAGTGGAATCGCAGCAAATCTATGAGATATGGTTCCTTGTTTACTCGAAATCAAAACTATTTAAGAGCGGACGCGAGCTGAAAGACATTTGAAAATTTGGTATTTGAAACAACTATTGGCAAATACCGTGACATAGGGACAACAGTAGCTACAGCTAAATATAAATATTAGCAATTATTAGCTAGCTACAGTTAATTCTTGGTTTGGCTCTCGACGATTTCCTCCTCGAAAATAAGATGTATGTACAAGAAATTTCACCCACAAAATAATAAGTAGCTGTACTAGGCCACTACCATTTAAAAGCTTTAAAAAACAAAGTTATCGAAAATTGGAGCCTAGAATTAGTAAAATTATATTTTATGTATGAAAATTATTCCTTTAGTGATAAAAATCAAAGAGGAATCGACTGATCGAGCACGTTTGTATGGAAAAGCACTGCCCGCCTCCCCTCATAATTTTTTGGTCGTTTGTACAGATAACCATGTGATCATGGTGCAGCGCATGATCGGCTCCCAACATCTCGGCACGGGTGGCTCCTCCGGCTACCAGTACTTGAGGTCCACGCTTAGGTAATGTACTAAACGATACAATACGAGAATGGACATAAAATAGACAAGTATCTAGAGAGATAGAGAGAAAGTGATAGTGAACTCAATACTTATTGAACTACTTACTAGCTGTGCCCCGCAGTGTAACCCGCGGTTAATTAGGGATAGTATCCCGCAGTAAAATGTAGCCTATGTGTTAATCCAGGGTGTCAGCTAATTCCATACCAAATGTATAAAAATCGCTCCAGCCGTTTAGACGTCAAGATGTAACAAACATACACACTCACAAACTTTTGCCTTTATTATAGTGTGATTGGCCCTTCGATTATAAACACGCCTAGATACTACACGGAAGTAGTATATTCACTACACGGAAGCGGCTCACAAAATATCTACTACATATGGTAGATACGCTCATCGCTACACACGCACACATCGACTGTTTTCAAACCATCTCACATTAGATTCACACACACATTTCGCGTAACATGAGCCGTTTCTTTGCGTGGTTTATTTGGATTGCTCTTTCTAGGCGTGTATATAATCAAAGTATTGTCTACAAGATTGTTTCAACACTTATCAGCTAGATTTAACTTCACAGTTGGACAGAGAAAGCTCAGTATACTCTATGTCTATATAAACTACACAGTATCCAAACTTGTTTCTGAGACGCACAATTTCAGCATCAACATCATCAGCCTATTAGTGTCCTTACTGCTGGGGCACAGCACAGATCTCCACGAATGGATTATAGAGATTCACGTCGCCACGGTAATAATATCATACAGTATTCTATCTTCATACAAACGGTCGGAAAGCGAGTCATACCTACGCCACTCGAGTTCGATGTGCTCTCGGCGTGCACCCAGTCGTGAATGCGCCGCCGCGCCGCAACGACGACCGAACGGTCAGAATTGTTTTTTATGCAGTTAGCCGTGCTTAAACATGCGTTTTGTATTGTAAATATTTGATTTAATTAAGTAGATACCTACATAATTTAGTATGGAAAAGAACAAACGACGATCAATATCGTACAACAGCACAATTGCTGTTTTTGGTTGCTTGAACTCTTCAATAACACACCCAGAGATATCATTTTTTAAATTACCTGAAATATTGGAAAGGTGTCTTACCTTTATAGAATTTTTTTTATATACCTATCTACTAGTACGTTATTTGTTTCTAATATTTAGGTATTTCGGTTTTTCCATCGGGCAAAATATCAGGAATAATATATAAATAAGTGGTTAGGATGAAAAAAGAGACAAACGAGTAATCTACCTACACTCGCGTTAAAAACAAAACTACCGCGTGCCAACCTAACGTTCGGTGTAGGCATTTATTTTCAAGGACAGGGCGGAGTCACAATACTGTATAGATAATATTACCGTGACGTCGCGTTCCACTGCAAATTGGTAGATGCTAACGACTGCAGATACAAGGAGGAGCCTAAGATAATATAGTTAATGTTTAACCATCCTCTGATCGGCCATTGCAAAAGTTACTTAACTTTCACAATCGCAGACTTAACGCGCTAACACTGAAGGTGTGTGATAAAAAACAAATATGTTATCTTCACTCCTGTAGCTGCAAACAGGACATCTAGTTTATCCGTGATAACGGCGTATCATGAGACTCAATTTATTCAGTCGATTCCCTCGGCGCAATGTATAGTCAAGTAGGCGTGCGTGCGTGCATGTATGGGCGTGTGTGTGTGTGTGTGTGTGTGTGTGTGTGTGTGTGTGTGTGTGTGTATGTGTGTGTGTGTGTGTGTGTGTGTGTGTGTGTGTGTGTGTGTGTGTGTGTGTGTAATGATTTTGAAAGTCTCACTTGCATCGCGATATCATTATTCCGCACCATTTATTTATAATATACCCACTGAAATTACTTGTTCTCTCACAGCGACCGCTACAAAGTGTTCCTAGATCTGTTCAACTTGTCGACATTCCTGCTGCCGCGGTCCCAAATCCCACCGCTGGGCGACGGCGTCAAACGCAACCTCAACCTCACGTGGGGCGAGACGAACGGACAGAACGGCGATGCGGACCAAAACGGAGACCACGCCTTATAGTTTAATAAGTCAAACTCTGATTTTTAATGCGACGGAATTCTGACAGCTGAAGCTCCATGATGCGGAACAAGGGGACAAGGCTACACACGTTATGGTGCGATTACAGTCCGTTCATCATAATTGTCGCTAGCCCGAATACAAATGCCTTTGGAATAGGGAAGATGCAATATCTTTAATTTCTACACTTTAAAACTCTTCGCACTTTAGACAAAAAAAGTTACAACCATCTCAACACTAACTCTTGGTAAATTCCTGGAGTCTGATTTGATAAATCCAACTTCCATTTTTATTAAAAAAACGCAATTAATATTCCCATAAAATAATATTCACTTTGATAACCTCAAATAAGTTGTCATAACAGGAGTGACGTCACTAAACGCTGATTGGTGTTTTAAAATCTTAGATTAAAACATAAAGGGTAGATACGGCACTAGCCTCACAAAAGTGATCCGCACAAATTGTGGTCCACGACCCTAATCACTTTAGTCACAACTTGACATGCAAACGACGCACAGTGTATTATTTTATTAAAAAATCCTGAAGTTTCAATCATTTAAAATGCTAGAGTAGCACTCCAGAGTGGAAAAAACCCTTAGTTTTGAAAAAAAAATCTTTGAAAATTTGGTTTTATTTTTTTAGAAAAATTCCTTCTCTTAAAGCAAATATATTTTGAATATATGACGAATGTTATTATAAAGCATTTTACAAGCTTCATCTTTAAGAGCTATTAGCGCACTTGTGGCTGCCTTAGAACAGGTATAATAACTTTTTTTCAGTTTTTCGTTTTTATTTTATTATTCAGATAATACACCATATTTGGAAAAGTTATCCAAATAAAAATGAAGGTCCCAAATCCTTCTACCTACCACAAACAAATCACGTCCAAATTGCGTGGAGTCTATATGATACAGCCTGTTTTGTAAATAACCGGGTTTTTTTTCATTAGGGTTGACACTATTCACAAATTCAAAAATATCCGGAATATTAGGGTATAATCATAGGGTATGTAATATAATTTAAATGCTAGCTGTTACCCGCGGCTTCGCCCGTGTAATTTGTTTTTAATCGCACGGACGTCGGACCACGCGCAATGTAGGGTTTGTAGTTTCCCATCAATTTTCAATGGAATTTGTACATTTTTTCTTCTCCAAGTACCTTTTATAAGTTGTTTGAAATAAATTTAGGTACTTAATAGAATTTTCATTTCACATATTGCATAATTTATTAAAACTAAATGATATTATGTATTTTCAACATTATATAGTTTCTTGTTATATTACACACCACACGTGGGACTTAAACCACCCACCCACCTTAGATAAAATTCGGGATATTGAAAATTCAAAAAAGTAACAACCCTGATCGAAATATTTAATTGAACACAGCTTCTAAACTCCACGCAATTTGGATGTGATTTTTTAGTGGTAGGTAGAAGGATTTAGGACCTTCATTTTCATCTGGATAACTTTTCCAAATACGGTGGATTATCTGAAAAATAAAATAAAAACGAAAAACTGAAAAATAATAATTTCTCCTTTTCTATGGCAGTTACGAGGTCGCTAATAGCTCTTAAAGATGAAGCTTGTAAAGTGCTTTCATATCACTTATGACATATATTTAAAATATGTTTGCTTTAGGGAGAAGGAATTTTTCTAAAAAAATATCCGCAAAAAAAACAGATTTTCAAATATTTTTTTCCCAAAACTAAGCGTTTTTGATACTCTGGAGTGCTACTCTAGCGTTTTAAATGATTGAAACTTCAGGATTTTGTAATAAAAAGCAGACGTCCGAAAAATGGGTTTCATAATACACTGTGCGACGTACATGTGAACGCCAAAAAGAAATATTGATAATATTTTGTGTTTATATGATAAAACAATGCCTAAGTATGTTTTTAAAAAGTGCTCAAATTGCTCAAGAACTAAATATAAAACCAACGGCATCACTTTTCATTCGGAAGTTAAGTACTATAAAATATATATTTTCATAAAGATTGCTGTTTGTTTTGAATCTTATTCGGTAGTGACGTCGAGTACTGGTCGCGTGATTGGTCGGTAGTGCAGTGACGCGGATCTCGCCGTCTCGTTCGCGCTGCCGCGCCGTGGGATCAGTTTTTGTTTGATGCAAGTATGAGCGTACCGTATCTACCCTTTTTGTTTTAATCTAAGTTTAAAATACGTCTTTTTTCAAGTTATTTTTAATTCGTTATTATTGTTAAAAAACAACATGATGTAAAATAAAAACGTTGCAGTGGCTTTTCTTTTATATTTTTTTAACATTTTAATCATAAAATTTTCATAAATATTATATTTGCATCTTCCCTATTGGGGTAACCGACTAAATATGAATAAACGGAGACGAGTACGCCCATATACGGGTAGTTTTTGTTTTGGTTACCCGACACCGTCTTTCAGTGGCTCAGTTACATTTGGTCATTAGCCCGTATTCGGGTGCACGAAAAACATTACTCGAATTCGGGCACCCGAAGCGATATTTACACTGGAAACCGGGCTAGAAGAGGGTGGTCGTTTTGGCTACCTGATACTGGAAGCAAATGAGTGGAACTGAGCTATAATAGAGATCTGGTATCTCCATCTCTTTTACGTGTATAGCGCTGTCCCGCATGCTGGAGCTGTCAGAATTCCGTCAAATTAAAAATAATAGAAAAAGTAATTTTATTTGATAGGCAAAGACACTCCAATATTAGTAAATCAGAAATTAAAGTACCTATAGGCTTATTAATTTAGTTATTTAATGCCCAGTGAAGTACTTTAACAATTAACTGCTTTGATTAATTTATATCTTACTAGACAGAACGATCTGCTACATTCACTTCAATACATATGTATTATAATTTACTGTTAAATAGAAAATAATACTTTAAACTCATAATTTTTAGTTTAGCTAGATTTACCCACAAAATTCCTAAGAGTATGTTACTCATTTGGTCAATTGTTTAGAGCTGCCATCTATGATGTTTTTTTTATACGTCATTGGTGGCCAAATTTGTTTTGTGACTGTTTTTTAGTCTTACTTGTCCTTATGTCACAATACCAATACAAGTATGTCTGTATAAAATATATTTTGATCTGATAGTCATTCAGTGAATTTCCCCCTTGCAGTTTTAAGTTAAAAGCAATAAAAGCATAATTTTAGTAAAGTCTTTTATTTTTTATAACTTAGAAAAATATACTTTTGCTTACGAACTTTATATAAACTAAAGCCGGGTACTCATTAGCGAGCTGTAACCGTAACATACAGTAAGAGGTTCTAGTGTGTACGCTTGTAGCTCAGTACCCCTAGCACGGAGCATCGAATTCGAATAGTTTGCAAACCGAAATGTCAATGTCATATTTTGTATGGAAACTTGAACAACAGCGGCGGCAAAGTACGTAACGAGAACTAAAAATCAGTACTTCACATTTGAAAATGACATTTCGGACTCGCAAACGATACGAATTCGATATTGGTTCGTGCTAGGAGTTGTAAACGTGTCGGCTCGCTGCAAACGACACGCGTACCGCTCGCAGCAGGTTAGCGAACCACGTACACACTAAGATTTTTGGTTACAGTGCATGCAATGGTTACGGTTACAGCTCGCTAATGAGTACCCGGCTTAAGTATTCATAACATCAATATATTATGATTACGAACAGCACAATACATACAAGAGCAGTAGCGTAACTCAGCCGTTTTCTTGAAATAGATACCTACGACTGAGCGAAGCGCTAGGGTAAAACAGATGTCTTTAGATTTTTATTGTATGCGTATAGATTTTTATTGTATTTGCAGTTGCGCAGCGCAACTAATTTAACGCGGCCATCGACCAGTCTCAGTGCCGCGCGACGCGACGTGGCACTGCGTAGATTTATCTTGCCAAGATTGGTTAGCGGCCGTGTAAATGACGTTTGTCTGTGTGCGTCTGTCGATTCGGGCGCTAGTTTGAAGCAGAGTACTGCTCTTGTATATATTGTGCGAGCAGTGTCTATTGATTTTTCAAATACGATTGAGTAGTTATTTTAAACGATAGGGATGATGACAAATTCACTTCTATTCTTCTTCTAACAAGACCTTTAAAAAATAATAAAAATTAAGACCATTTAAATTAAAAAGTATTGGTAGCGTATTTTCCGGTAGCGATTGTATTATGAGGTTATGTTGATTTGAAATGTCGCATTACGTCACGCCTTGGACAATTTTTACTTAGAAGTGACGTCACGAGCCCCCATTCTCGAACTTTGACGCGCTTTATCTTTGTTATTTTTTGGTTGATTGACAAAAGAATAATCTAACTGACGTACTTAATAGAATTTCGTCATAAAGGACAATGGGCAAAACGCACCCAGCTCCGCCAACAATGTAATTAGTATGAATCGATAGGTCTATGAAAAACTAGCCTTTTTTATTATGACACCGAAAATAGATATCCTGGGAGTCAAAAGATATGACACCGTAAAAAATATCCTGGTAGTCAATAGATATGACACATGGGCATATTTAAGTAGCTGAAAAAAATCATTTTATAATACCTTCATTTTATATTATTAGTAATCATAATAATATGCCATATCGTACTATAAAACCAGATATACGACAAAGCATGCCGACTATCCTGCGCTTGCTCTTAATGAGACATTTCAAAACGGTTTACGAATGCTGAAGGACTTGCAGTTGCAAATAGTCGACTCGTCTTACTTCGTTGTGATTGTGCGCTCCCTGCTACTTCATTGATTTTTATCTAACATGCTTTGGATATTGGAACACGATTATTGGTTTTCTCAATTAGTATGGATAAACTAGAATTATGTGTTCTCCGAAGCGTGGACAAGTTTGTATAATCTGTGGTCGCTCCGTTATCCATAGAAGACAATTTACTATAACGAACAGAATGTTTAAAAAAATCAACTTATGCCGGGATTTTTAATTTACTCTAGCGCGGCAGAATAACATAAGGGGGCACCCTTGCACCTTATGAACTACTCCCATAATTCCTGAGCAGCCTATGTAGGATCGAACTAACTAACTAAATTAATTCCCTTGTTTCATTAATGTTCGTTCGTTATAGTACTTCTCCATATTTAACTTAAAATAACTAAAGACCCCCGGGATGGAATTTGATGCATTTTGGCACAGATGACTATAATACCTTTCAAACAAATGTAGTTTAAGCCGTGGCGGACGTGGGTGCAGCGTCCATACTTTTTTGCCCAATGTCCTTTCGTTTTTTTAACCCCGTCATCAAACCAATTGAAGTTTGTTTACTAGATGACGCTTGCGCCTAATAATTATAATTGATATGCAGAATAAAAGTTTAATTTCTTCATTCTCACTTTCTGGACTTAAGATTTATCATATAATTTCAACTGACCTAATTTGACTCTATCTGCACTAGCCTGCAAAACTAAGTATCACACTTTTAAAATTGCAATAACTGTTAAAGTACACAAGAGAGACTTTAAAAATAAAAAGCACTCGAAAAAGAGTTTAATTTTGCAGTACAGTTTTAAAGGAAGCTGAAAAAAATAATATAATACGATTTTTATTATAAATCTCTAACTTCTATAGTTTATAAAAGAATTAAATGTTAAAATGTGATAATTAGTTTTGCAGGCCTGTGTATTTAGTTTTCAACGACCACCATCTGCTCTGGAGTCTATACCATAATAGTCATCGAGAGGTGGCTGACGACTTTCGAACAAGGTCATACATAATGACACTATTTTCAGATATTATTTGGAAGGTTATTGGCCTTATCCTGGTCAATACTTATGGACACTTTAAAGGCCCTTAGGTTGGATAAATAAATAATAAATATTTCCAACACTCACAACAATTAACCTAGCTCCAAAGTAAGCACTGTAAGACTTGTGTTATGGGATGCTAGGGTAACGGATAGAATTCATATACTGTACATAAATAAGTATATTTATATAGAAATACATATTAAAAATCCATGACTGGAGTACAAATGCTCGAATTCATCACACAAACATCTGCCCCCACCGGGATTGGTACCCGGATATGTAGATATTGGTATCCTTAAACTAAACTAATTCTTAAAAAAAAAAAATATTATTTTGTTTACACTTTTACTTTTTTTAAATTTTGTATATGACTTTTTATTGGGTTTTTTATGCCTGGAATAAACAATTATTATTATTATTAAACGTTACAGCTCACGCAGACTTCACAACACCGAATCGGTAGGACACCCTGTGCAGGTAAACGTCACCGGGTTTCAAGATGGCCGATGGGAAGTTGTCATGATTTACTGCGTCGGGATAGTTCTGGGTCTCCAGACAGAAGGCGCCGTGGCGTCGGTAACCGATCGATTCCTTGCCTACTAAGGCTTCATCTTGCGGTGAGGGCAGGAAGTTGGCTGTGAAATTAAAGGAAACGAAAATCAAAAATCATTTATTCAGCCTAGGCTGTTAGAAGCGCTTGTGAATGTCAAGAAGCTACGCCATCGGTTCGCAAAACTACGGCGGGAGACCTTGTACTGAGATGAACCGGCAAGAAACTCAGCAAGGGCTGTTTTTTCTCCCTGTATTGTTAAATACTTCATTCAAGTTGACTTATAAGATTTTTTTTAAAAGAGGTGGAGGATTAGAGCTCCTGACTTGGGAAGTAACCACCACCTTAAAGAAGTTTTAGTAAAATAACAAATTTGGTGGTGTTTTGTTTCTGTCAGTGGTGCCAGGGCTACAGAGGGTACGGGTTTGGGTCAGGCCCGAGTAATAATGTGCGTAGTGGAGCTTCCTATTTATAGTTCATTTTTTTGTAAGTTTTCCTGTTATCGTACACAGTACCAAGAACCACTTCCATTACACCACAAAATATGATATAATAGATTCACTTCGCTAACTGAAAGTGTCTAGAAATCTAGACTATGGTGGCCGGGTCGCTTACCATCAAGCGGATCATATTTTTCCGCTACCCTTTTAACATAAAAAACAACGTACATGTGCTGTTCACATGTACGTTGATGTAAGTGAGGAACGCGTTATGAGCTGGACCGTCGTATGAATATTCGTATGCCTTACTCGTGCACGGACCCTTAACCTCTCGAAGTGTCGCTTCTCTTATATTGTTATAAGATAAGCGAACCTTGCCTGGCCATCTGGCCAGCGGGGAACGCCCCACCAACAGCTGCAGGGCAGCGCGCCCGCGCGCGCTGCTCAGGGTCGCGCACGCTCATACCCCATGCACCGCGCCGCGCTCGCATATTAACCGCGAGCCATGGCAGACAAACCGCCGCCGCGCAAAATGCCTAGCCCAACCGCGCAGCCAACATCACGGCTGCCGAAGAAAACTACGACTACCCCCGTTTCGAAAACTCATGGAACTGCCCCACCGACCACAGGCGAAGTGCAGCCCACCCCAACACCACGGTCGTCACCCACTACGGCCCGAACTCCAACAGCGGCAAACCCCCTAACTCACTGGCTGAGAACGGCCGCCCAGTCGCCATCACTGCGTGTCCGATATGAATCGGACACCATGATAGTGGCTAGGCTGGCCCAAACTGGCTGTATGTCAGAAGGCCTAGTCCGTTGGTTGGGGGTGTACCTGCGGCTGGTGGAATTCGAGCTGGGCGACACCCAGATCCTCACCGAAGCTGACCAGATTGCGCTTGACGCACTTCACGCAAATGAAGAGGTCAGCTTCAATATGTCGATGCCACCACCACCACCCAGCGCCACCAAACGCAAACGCGGGCCACCGTCGGCCCAGAAAGAGGAAAAGCGAATATGCGCCACGGAGCGAACGCCGCACCCGCGAGACCCGCGCCATCGCAGGTCCCACAGCAGCGGCGACAAACCCGCACCACCTTCACCACCCATAGAAACGCCAGCTAACCCGAACTCGCAGCGAAAAACGAAAAAATCGCCACTACCCTCGGAGGCGATTTCAGAAACACCCGCCCCGCTGCAACAACGAGACACACAAGCGAGACGGACGATCGCTTATCCCTCTCCGTCACCGAATGCAATTTGAAATTTCTCCAACCCACCCACCTGCAACAACAACATACGCAAAAGCGGTGAGTTTTTCCTCAGACTCCTCTAACACCACGTCAGCCGCCCAAATGGACACCGCACCGCCCAAAACCACCGCTGCCGCCCGCCCTAGCCAGACAACTGCGACTACGACCCCAAATACCGCCCCTGTCAATCCAAGGGAGCGTAAGTACCCACCTTTGGTAGTTGAGCACCTCCCAGACTGGCCGACGCATTTCCGGGCCATCCGGGAGAGACTAGGACGAGCCCCAAACGCACGCCCGTTCGGCGTAGGAGTGCGCTTCACGCCTGAAGACGCGAACGAGTACCGGCTCATACAAGCCTATCTCACCGACCTAGAGGGGCTCGGGGGACTGAGTTGGTACTCGTACGCATTACCAGAGGAGAGGAGCCTAAAGGTGGCCATACGAGTGCTGCCATTCAATACGGAGCCGGCTCACATCGTCGAGGCCCTAGCGGAGAGGGGCTTCCGATGTGAACACGTGAAACGCATCCGCGCCCGCGCAGGCCGCCCGGGCTGCATTTATTTCGCGGCACTAAACCGCACTGCAGACACCATTCCAGCCATCTATGAGGTGAAAGAACTGCTTAACATGACTGGAGTAACTATAGAGGCTTGGCGTGGCAAAAAAGGCCCTGCGCAGTGCCACCGCTGCCAGGGCTTTCGCCACTCATCCAAGGGCTGTCACCGCCCCATTGCCTGCGTACGTTGCGGCGCACCGCACGCCGCCGCCGACTGCCCGCGCCCGCGCTCGGAGCCCGCGACATGCGCAAACTGCGGCGGACCGCACCCCGCCAACCACAGCAGCTGCCCATCCTTGAAAAAGGAATCTAGAAATAGAACCGCCACTACAGTGGCTAAGACTGGCCCCACAACGAATGCGACTATACCGCGCACCGAGGTAAGCGAACACGCACCGGCCTCTCTCATGGCACCAGCCAATGCGCCGCCCGCCCACGCGGGGACCACCACCACCCGCCGCCGCCGCAAGAAACGAGATCGCCGCACTGCACAAACAGTTAACGCGGCGCAACCACAGCCACCAACAACGTCGGCACCCGTACCCAAACAACCATCTATAAATCAAGATGATGATATAAGACGCCTGTTCGCTTTAGCCGAGCAGCTCCAATTAGGCCTCCGCTCCATAACACAGAAACATTCGCAGGCCTAAGGTTAGTACACTGGAACTGCCAATCACTCAGCGGAAAGCGCCGATTATTGATTCACTTTCTCCGCACTCATAACATTGACATAGCGCTCCTGAGTGAAACAAGACTACCCACATCCAAAATTTTTCGTATACCTAACTATGAAGTATACAGACAGGACGAACAATCGCCGATAAACGGTATGCCTATGAGAGGGCTGATGGCCATCGTGCACCGGCGGATTGTTCACCAGCCTGCCCCCCTAGCGCGCCTCACATCTATGCGCGCTCTCGGCGTGGATATCTACCTAGGCGGCAGTGAAATTAGAGTGTACGCCGTATACAAACCGCCGCAATCTAATCTAGACATAGGTGAGTTGAGGAACCTCCTGCGCCCGCTACCTACCATCTTGGCGGGCGACCTCAATGCGAAGCACACCGCCTGGCACTCCGCAACCATTAACCCAGCAGGCCGCAGCATTTTCCACGACGCCGTCGATCACGACTACGAGGTAACGGGCCCCTCAGAGCCGACTCGGCATGACCCGGCGGGTCGTACCGACGACGTCCTGGACATTCTAGTTCACCGTGACATAGACGCAAACATCACTCAGGAGGTGATGCTGGATCTCCCATCAGACCATCGCCCGGTTTTATGTACCCTACATAACCTACCAGCACGAGTGACGCCCCCAGCACCGCGCACGCGAGTAAACTGGGACGCTTACAAACGCACGATGTATGACACCACCGCATCAAAACCGATAAACACGCCCGAAGACGTCGAATCAGCCGCTTTGAACATCACTGCCACAATACAGTCTGCGGTTTTAACGTCCACCCGCACCCTCCCCGATAAGGGAAAAAATTCCACCCTCCCTTATCGAATAAACCAATTGATCGCGGAAAAGCGCAGACTGCAGCGTACCTGGCAACGAGACCGCTGCCCAGTAATGAAAACCCGACTCAACGCCCTCACCGAACAGGTAAAGCGCGCCCTAGACGACCATGCTGCACTTAAGTGGGACCGACATCTGTTAAGCGTGGGCGGGGACATGCCCTCAGTGCACCGCCTATGTAAGCAGTTTTCCGCAACCGCGTCGACACCGCGCCCACTGTTAGACGAAAACGGACAACCGCACTACCACGCGAAAGATCGCGCTGAGCTGCTTGTAAACCACTTAGAACGACTTTTCATCCCTAACGACACGACAGACAGCGAGCACGTTGCGACCGTGAGGTCGCACGTGATTAACTGTATGTCGCAGTCGTTAGCACCGGACATAGACCCCATAATATTCTCACCTAAACAAGTCCAGAGAGAAATTACAAAAGCAAAGCCAAGAAAGGCCCCTGGACCCGACAACATCACTAACGCAGCCCTTAGAAACCTACCCCCAAAATCAATTGCTGCCATTACCCGTCTTTACAATGGCATATGCCGCACCGGACACTTTCCCACAATTTGGAAGGAGGGTAGGGTGATAATGATCCCGAAACCGGGGAAAAATCACAGCAAGCCGGACAGCTATCGACCGATCACCCTACTCTCCACCCTTTCGAAAGTGTTCGAAAAACTGATACTTCCGAAAATAATACCATACATCGAACCCCGCTCCGAACAATACGGATTCCGCGCCGGCCACTCAACTACGCTTCAGCTGACCAGTGTACTACACCACCTAGCGACGTGCGTAAACAAGCGTGAGTACATCGCAACCGTTTTCCTAGACGTAGAGAAAGCCTTCGACAGAGTCTGGCACGAAGGCCTACTCTATAAACTATCACAGACTCCACTACCGCAACGTCTACTACGAATAGTCGCCTCCTTTCTCGAAAACCGCCGCATCCACGTGACGGTAGAGGGCACGCTCTCGACCTCACGCCCGGCCCAAGCAGAAGTACCGCAGGGCAGCTGCCTGTCGCCGCACCTCTACACAGCGTATACGAACGACGTCCCAACAACAGGTGATGTTAAACTCGCGTTATACGCTGACGATACCGCCCTCATCTGCTCATCCATACGCCCACGCCATGCCGCCGAAAAACTGCAGCCCACCCTCGACGCGCTCGCACCATCGCTGGAAAAATGGCGCATCCGCGTAAATGTCGCCAAAACGCAGGCGATGCTCGTCGGATCGCAACGCTCAAATCCGCCCCCGCTCACCATATTAGGCAGGCCGGTCCCATGGGTACAAACAGCAAAGTACCTTGGTATCACTATAGACCGCCGCCTAAACATGCGACACCACGTAGCCGAAACAATAAAGAAAACCAAGATGGCCCGAGCGCGACTGCGCCCCATCCTACGAAGCCGACTCCCATTACGTACAAAAGTTTGTATATATAAAATGTACATCCGCCCCCTAATCACTTACGCAGCGCCCGCATGGTACGCGCTGGTTGCAGAGACGCAGCGGAAACGCCTCCGCGCGCAACAAAACCTCTCCCTGCGCGTCATTACCAATGCGGGCCGCTACGTACGCAACACAACTATTCACCGAGACTTAAAAGTCGAAACCCTAGACGACTTCATAACAAAATTAGCAACATCAATGTACGGTCGAGCGGAGCACTCGGCGCACGAACACATCCGAGAGATTGCTCCCGCGCACGATCGCTCCCGTACAAGAAGAGATAGAGCCCTACCAAGAGAGCTCGTCCCAGAGGAAGACCAACCCGCAAGAAGTAATATATAACAACGGCCCCGCTCGCTTCACTGCGGGCGGGCCAACTCCACATTACGCCACATTACACATAAGATATTATAACAAAAACACAAACACACATAATAATGTAACCCATTCACGAAGCACTCCAAAGAAAGTAATAAAAAAAAAATATATATAATAGTTAATTAAAAAAAAAAAAAAAAAAAAGGAAAAATATATATAAAAAAAAAAAATATACAAAAACTTTCTTTGGACACAACTACGATTTCCCTTACCCTACATGACGACCCTGCCCCCTCCCACCACCAAGTCCACCGCCTGCTCGCTGGTCGCTCACCGGGCCTCCCACACGGGTCTCACCCGGGGGGCTTGACCGCGCTGAGGGCGGTGGTGAAGCTGTGGATAAAGAGGGGACGGACACAAACGACCGCTCCGTAGTAACGGAGTTACGCACCCGTAGTAACGCACCCGCAGCATCCGAAAAGGATTCATCCTACAACGACGAAAGAGAGATGTAAGTGAAAAGTACAAAAATGTGAACACGTTAAAGTCCTTCACCTGCCCGCGGCTTTATTTGTTACCAGCTATTTTTATTTTATTTCTTTTGTTGTGTTTTTCTTATCTTAAGTTTTTGTCGAAATAATTATTTATAAAAAATACTGTAAAAAATTGGGTGATAAAACCAAGCCTGTATTGATATAAACAACTTGGGCACCTATCAAACGTTTAATACCTACTTAACTATTCAGGTATGTAAAATACTGGGCATATTTAAATATTCTATACATAATTGTTTCGAAACATAAATATCAGCTTAATAAAAGAAAAAAAACAAACAATTATTACAATAACCGAGCTCAGGATCGAACCACCGATCATTTGGTGTCGTTGCTGTTCGGCTATCTGTCTCTCGCAGTGAGTAACAAAATTACGGATACCTTGTGTCTAATACTGTTAAATTTAAGTTTCATCGAGTTTCAAATTACAACGGTGCTATAGAAGTTTTCACTTCAATATAAAAAAAATATTTTGCATCGTATCGTAGTATTTATTTTTCCTACCGTACATCTTTCACAGCGGTACCCTTGGCACGAACCAATATCGAATTCGTATCGTTTGCGAGTCCGAAATGTCATTGTCAAATGTGGACTGATTTTTAGTTCTCGTTACGTACTTTGTGCCGCTGCTGTTCAAGTTTCCATACAAAGACATTGACATGTTGGTTTGCAAACTATTCGAATTCGATAATGGTTCGTGCTAGGGGTACTGATAAGAAGAGCGGGCGAAAGAACCTCATAAGCAATGCACAGAAGTCGCAACATTTTCCTACATAAAATAATGTCGTTACCTGTATACAACTGTACTCCGGGCTGATCTGTGAATACTTCTAAAAAGCGACCAGATGCTGGATGCGTCACCCTCGCCGTGAATGTGACCTGCTGAAATAGAAATCCAATTGGAAATTAGTCCAACACCATCGTAGCCTATTAATGTCTCCACTGCTAGGCCACAGGCCTTCCCTATGGATGGAATAGGGAGATTGGGCTGAGACCCACGACTCGGCCGAGACCCACGACTGGGCCGCGACCCACGACTGGGCCCAGTGCGGTTTGGTGAGTGCTAACGACTGCAGATGTAGCCGGGACCAACAGCTTAACGTGCCTTCCGAAGCACGGAGGAGTGAGAGATAATAAGTTTTTGGTCACCCATCCGTAATAATTATCCTAATGGAATCATGTTTAATATAAGTAAGTAGATAATGTTTATATTGACAAGTTGTAAAAACATTTAAAGATAGGGTATTTTCCAAATTTTTGAAAACTGCTTATATTTAAAGATTGGGACAAACGATTTAACAAAAAAATAAAAATAAATAAATTAATGTCTTTTTTTCTCCATTAAACCAATTAAAGTTGAATTTATTTTTAATGATTTTGAATTTACCGCCAAAACGCTCGGTTCGGTGACGTCTACTGTGTGGCGTCAAATTAGTGTAAAGAAAATAACACCTATGTAGTCTGAATAAAAAACGTGATATAATGTAAATTGTGGTGCTCATGCCACGGGGACTGAAGAACTTACCTTATCCCCGTAATTAGCGATACAGAAGTTGTTATCGAATAGTTCGCTACTGTTCTCGATGACGTCACCGAGGCGCGTGGGCACGCGCAGGTCGAACGGCGTACCGCCCACCTCCTTGAACGAGCCGGTAGGGATCGACTCGTTGTTGGTCTCTGTAATCCTGGTAGGGAAGTTGTAAATCAAAAACTGATCTAGAGAGTTTATTTTTTAACTACGTAGTTAATACAATATATAGAAAATGAAATAACAATAACTTAAAAACTACCTTATGTATTAAATTTGAATCCAAATTACCTTAACCTACTTACGAATAATATCTAATTTACAAAATAAAAAATATGCCACCCCCCCATGCCCCCGTCGGATATGGTGCTCAAATAGACTGGCCGCATTGTCAAGTTGAATGGCAAGGCTGATCAGTTGACCAATATAGCTGCCAGCTTTTAGGTTATTTTTTTATTATATTGTAATTTAAAGCTTGGAACTACATAGCGAATTTCTCTAATCGAATTGGTACGCCCGCCTGAGGCCACAGTAAAATAACACTACCTTTTGGTGATGTTGCGTTTTTGTCAGTGAGAAAGATTCCACAGCTCCAAGGGGTAGGGGTATGGGACAGGGTAGGCAAACAGCGCGATATATTGCGTTTAACTGTGAAGTTCGGTTCCTGCGCAGCTGAGGCGTCTTTAGTCGTTAATCACTGATACCCGTCGTTAATCACTAATACCCACCAATCCGTACTTAACTCGGTTGGTGGTCGAATGGTCATAGCGAAAGCTTCTTATTCATACATAGGAAAGTTCTGGACCTCAGCAGTGAGGATAGAAATCAGAAATCAATATACCTTTATTCAAATTGGATGTATAGTATACAACTCTTTTGAATCGTCGAAAATTTTTTTCCCTACCATTACGTTATAAACTTATTTTTTAGCTGCGGAGAAAAACGAGCGAAAAATCTCCACAACATTAAAAGTCTAATGTAACAACATTTACAAATCATTATGTTGTTACAACGTCAATACAATTATGATTTATTTAATATAGAAAACCTGTTGGAATGATTGGAACAGTTCAAACCCAAGCATTTTTGTCTGTAATATAATCAAACACTTTGTAATAAGCTTTTTTAATAAGTGTTTTTTTTTTATACGATTTTTAAATTTATACAGGTTAATATATATTATAAAGATATATTATATAGGTTAATGATGATAATTAATACAACATTGAGCAAGAAAGAAAACTAAAGTTAAAGATTTGTCATACCGTGAAAAGTTTATTCCAAATTCCACGGAGATTAGGGGATTGCCTCAGGGGGCCATTCGCCTAACGGATATGCTTTGGAAAACGCTAATGCTTCCGATTTCATTTTGTTATTTTTGACCGCGAAGGTTTTCAAATACCTAACGCTCATTTAGCTTTAGTAATCTTATTACCAATGCAAAATAAGAAAAAAGAGCGCGAAGCATTTGAAAACCTCAGGCGACTAGAAATAACAAAATGAAATCGTAAGCGTTAGCGTTTTCCAAAGCATTTCCGTTAGGCGAATGGCCCCCTGGTTAGGGTAGGTCGTTACCTACTATATCAAACCTCGCGTTTATATGCTATAGTAGCCGTTTACCATAAGGCAGGCCATTTGCTTATTTGCCACCCTTTTAATATTAAAATAAAATAATCAACAGCCAATCTTAAGTCTTACCAAACCGCACTAATTAAACAAATAACTCACTTGTTAGCGTTCATAGAGATGACGTGGTTGTACAACTCAGCTGCGCCAGTGCCGTGACCAGCCAAGTTGAAATACGCATGGTTGGTGAGATTCACAACGGTTTTCTTGGTGGTGGTAGACTGGAATACTAGGCGAAGTGTATCATCCTCTAATACTTCCACCGCTATGTTAGTGAGCAAGTCGCCGGGGTAACCCTCCTCGCCGTCCTTGGATAAGTAGCTGAATGTAACCTTGTTTCCGTCCACTGTGCTTTGCCAGTTCACCTGCAAGTTTTTGTTTCAGGGTAGTTTTTTGGAACGAAGTTCCTTTCTGGACGGTACGAACTTGTTGGATGGGGGCTAGACATAGAGCAACACGACCAACGCGGCCAGGAGGGGGAGTAGCCATGGTGTTAGTATGTTAGACTGCATTTATGTGCATATTCCTTCCCTCGCAAAAAGTGGCCGAATGCTTTCATTATTATTGTGTCACTATGGGCGCATTAATAACATTGTGAATGGTTTATGACTGCATATACTTCTTTTATAGTACATTATTGACATTTTAAATTTTGACATGTATTTTTTTTTTTGACATCCGCTACATTAATTGTTGACGAAGTTGTGTAATTGACAAGGTGAAAGTTTATTATTTGTGTTGTTTTTCTTGTACTTATATTGATTTTAAAATATTGACCTGTAGTAGCTTGTATTATTATTATTGTATATAAAATGTTTTAATGTATCGAGAAATATTAATTAATATTAATTTAGGACATGACGAGATCGAAAGTTTGCTTATCGATGATATTCCAGATATGTTTTACAGCGAATTACATAATATTTTGGAATTTTTGTTCACTAACATACACTCGCGCGAGTTTTGTTCGTGAGCAAGCCCAATAGCGGGGGAAAATCAGCAGAGGGGAAAGCTGCCAATGCCTACTCCACTCCTGGCCGCGTTGCTCTTTGGGGCTAGGCGATAAAATGGGTAAGATTTTTACGTCACAACTGTCAGTTGTTTAGTACCGTATTGTGTGTATACGTAGACCACTTAACTAAGGTCTCACCTGCGGGGTACAAGGTGTGGGGGAGTAGGAAAACGGGGACCGTGAGAGGTACCCCCACACACCCCCCCCACACACCCTGTACCCCGCAGGCGCGGTCTCAGTTAAGCAGTTTACCTTATAGTTGTGTACTTATGTTTATGTTTAACTTTGATCTAACCGAGTGTGACACGACAGTTATTACCATATCAATCATCAATGACATAGTAAAAGATCCCACAATTCGCCTCATTGGATTAGATGATAGACATGGAGAATTGAACGACACTCGCATTAAATTGACAACTCTTTAGGAAGAGAGAAAAATAATAGAGAATATGTATGTATATGTATGTAGACGAATAATGGCCGTTAGCAAACACCAATCGGCACTGGGCTCGCGCGATGAGTTAGGGCCCTACTCCGTTCTATCCTTCAAGGAAAAAATATCCTGCAAGGCTTGTCCTATTTTGTATAAATCTTGAGATATTTCTGTGGTAGACAGCGTGCGAGGTACAATACCTAAGTACATAAAGCGTGTAACTGCATTTCATTCATCTATTCGTACCTATCTAACCTTGAAATTTTAAATGGTTACTCGATTGTCTCTGTTACCTTGTCGAATCCGACGATTCCCCCGTGCAAATGGTTGGTGTCCACATTCTTAGCAAGCTGGTAGGTGACGCCATCGATGTCGAAGGATGCTCCCCCGATCCTATTGGCGCAGCGGCCGACGGTAGAGCCCAGGTAGGGGCTGTTCCTGTTCACGTAGCCATCCAGGTCGTCGAAACCGAGAATGACGTCATCGATGACGCCATTCTTATCGGGAACCTGGAATTGTGACAAATGCACGTAAGTATTTTAAGAGAAAAAAACTAACCGTATTAACTTTTTTGTACGTCCATATTATGTACCTTCAGGCTTCAGGGCCGGATTTAAGGCGCGGCTGATATGCATGCATGCATTATGAGTAAGGGCTATTATAAAAATTATAATATTAATGATCGCAATACGTGGACATGGTGTTTCTTGTAATGTAATGGTATAAGAATAATGTAGTATCTGAAATCGCTTCCGATATACCTACTAAAAATGTAAAGCTCACTACTCAAGTTATTGTATATACAAGTATCTTTATTCTAATGATGTAATGGAAAGTGAATTCAGAATTATCTCTGAAGTCATTGTTCAACTTGACGACTCTGTTTATAATAATACGGGGAGAAAAAGCAGCCCTTTGCTGAGTTTTTGCCGTTTCTTCTTAGTACAAGATCTCCAGCGGTAGTTTTGCGAACCGAATGGCGTAGCTTCTCGACTTTCACAAGTGCTTGTAACAGCCTAGACTGAATAAATGATTTGTGATTTTCATTGATTCATGAAATGTATAACAGGTAGATAATTAAACATATAGAAATGATAGCCAGGCGCATAAATGCAAGTACCTATCTATCTATTCTGTCACAACTGAAAATCAAAACTCATCTTTCAGCGTCTTTTTTTGGTCGTGTTCTTTCATACTGTGACCAGATTACATTATGCTAAGAGGAAACGAGTCTTCAAAAGCTGACCATGATTGGTGGAGTAGCAGATAAGGCGATAGGGCATGGGGTCAGCACTATGGTTTTTAGGGTTCTGTACCCAAAGGGTAATACAGAACCCTATTACCTACTAAGACTCCACCGGCCATATTTGTCTGCCACCAGGCTGAAGTATCTCATGAACCGTGTTAACTAGACAGTTGAAAATTTCACAAATGATGTATTTATGTTGCCGCTATAACCACATGCACTAAAAATAGAATAAAATCAATTTTAAGCAAAGCATACAAAAACAATTTTTTGGCGTTTTTTTGCCCTATATTGATACGGCAACAGGTAGGCCCCTGAAATATTCACAAAATGTTTAGTTGTATGAGTATTCACTTTAAAAATAAATAATTTAATTAAAATAAATATTTAAGGGGGGCTCCCATACAACAGACGTGCTTTTTGCCGTTCTTTGCTCTATATTATAATATTATAGTGTCTAATTTTGCATAGAACGGAACCCGACTCGCTCTTGGCCGGTTTTTTACCTGGATAGACTGAATAGTGGCGCCATAGGAGATGACAGCAACGGAGAATCCGCTCTCAGATGTCCAAATAAACCTCTTCACAGTTTCTCCTTTAAATGACCCAAAATCTTCTTGTTCCAATGTGACCATTTTCGAAGTAACTGAAAAAAAAACATATTAAAAACGGTGGCCTACAAGCATATGGCCCGCCTGATGGTAAACGGCGCCATAGCACGGTAATATTATATACAGTATTCTATCTTCATACAAACGAAAGCGAATCATACCTACGCCACTCGAGTTCGAGGGACTCTCGGGGGACATCCAGTCGCGAATGCGCCGCCGCGCCGCAACGACGACCGAACGGTGTAAATGGTTTTTTATGCAGTTAGCCGTGCTTAAACGTGCGTTTTGTATTATAAATATTTGATTGAATTAAGTAGATACCTACATAATTTAGTATGGAAAAGAACAAACGACGATATGGTGCTGTTTTTGGTTGCTTGAACTCTTCAATAACGCACCCAGAGATATCATTTTTTAAATTACCTGAAATATTGGAAAGGTAAGACTATAGAATATTTTTTATATACCTATCTACTAGTACGTAATTTGTTTTTAATATTTAGGTATTTCGATTTTTCCATCGGGCAAAATATCTGGAATAATATATAAATAAGTGGTTAGGGAGAAAAAAGAGACAAACGAGTAATCTACCTACACTCGCGTTAAAAACAAAACTACATAATAGGTAGGTAGGTAGTTTCCTAGACTAGGCTATCTACTTACTTAACTTAACTACATACATTATTGAATAACTAAACTACATATATTATTGAATTAAATTAAATATCATTATTTAAATAAATAAAAATATTAAATAGTAGGTATTGTAGTTATCGGATCTTTTTGGTATACTGGCAGGTTATAAGGTAATTTGGAAAAGAGACGGATTGTTGACAGGAATTGATAGCTGAAAGATAAAAAATAGGAAGATTTGAGCGGAGTTTAAAAAACAGTATTTTGTTTATTGATAATAATAATGTAATTTCTTGAAAATAAAAGTGTTTCAATGACAAGAATTAGTTTGCATAAAACGATCCCTACAGTACCTACCTAGTAAGATGTACCTACATTGTAGGTTATTTCCTTACCCGACTGCGCCATGACTTAAAAATAAATATAACTTGTATGTTTAAAATAATATTCTTTTATTGAATTATTTAAGAATAAAAATCAGCAGTCGGATTTTTAAGATATCTTCAACCGGTTGAGCTGAAATTTTGTATATACACGTTTTATTTACGGTTAGCTCTGTGACGTCATTCTAAATCCAACATGGCGGAATAGTTATTTTTAATGCATTCCTACGATATGGGCTTGCGGAGAATCTTTACATATAAAATAAAATATTTACAATCACAAAACTAGAAAGAAACTCAATTATGTAGATGAAATTAAAATACTGTAGGCGGGCGGCCCTACCGCGTGTTAACGCAGCGCTCGGCCGTAGGCATTTATTTCAAGGGCAGGGCCGAGTCACAATACTGTATAGATAATATTACCGTGGCCATAGCCTATAACCGCTTGCGATATCAAAAATACCACTCGCGGCGATGACTACCTTGACCCAATACCCTACCTGTTGGTGCCCTGGTCTCGACTTCACAGTCTAACGCACTATATCGCGCTGTTTGCCTACCCTGTCCCATACCCCTACCCCTTCGAGCTGTGGAACCTTGTGGTCTCCTCTAAGGCGGAGGTTACTTCCCCAGACGGGCGTTACAATTCGAACGGGTAATTCGCTATGCCTTACTCTTAACGTTAGTTAGACAGGGGACATTATGAAGAAAATTCTCTCAAACACGTAGGTATTTTACGAATATCACACTCAATTAGGGTTGCCAACCCTACTATATAATATAGTATCCTACTACATTAGGGGGTCAAATACTATATTTCTAAAAAAGTATGAAAAAGGCGAAACAACATTATTTTGCTTAAAGCAGACTTTTGCCAGTAAAAGTTTTCTTAAAATAAAAACTGAATTGTTAAAGTATAGTGCAGCAAAAATATACTCATTTCTGAAATAAAGTTAATATTTTTACCACAAACTACATTTTTCTCAATTTTTTGTCAATTTGTATATTTTTGGAGGTAACAGCTTAGAAAATACTATACTTGATAGAAAAAAAGTTGGTAACCCTACTCTTAATACTTGGTCCATAATAAAAAGGAGGTGCAAATCTCAACAAACATCCATAATGTGTGGCCTCAACTGTAGGTACTTCAAAAAACATCAAAATTCTAGCCCGCGTTTGCTGAGTGATCCGCGTGTTTTTTTTTTTTTGATATAAAAATATTCTTTCGATTATATCATCTAGCAGTTAAATGCTTAATAAATTCAAATATAACATCAAATTGTGTTAGTTTTATCTACATTATGGTTTGGCATCATTACTCAAATAGTTACATATTACATCAAAACTTATCTTTTTATCATCCAAACAATAAACATATTAAACAACAGCCGATAAAGTTTATTGTTTTCAATTAATTTTTTTTTGTTGTAAGATTATTTAAAACCAAATAACTTACTGCTTAGGAATATACTTGTTTTCTATTAAGTCTTAGTTCTTACATTTTTTGAATTCCTGCTAAAAGTTAACCATGATGAACAAATAGATAGACCTACCATGGATCAACTGTGCTACCAGAAACTCAGAGGTTTTTCTATGATGTTTGCTAAAATCCTATTTCCTACTAATATTGTAAATGTGAAAGTTTGTATGGACGTTTGATATTCTTTTACGCAAAAACTACTGAATGGATTTGAATGAAATTTGGCACACATTATTACTTGGATTGAGAAGTAGGATAGGTTTAACCCCGAAAAAGGGTTCTAAAAAAATAATAATTAACGCGGCCGAAATTATAGGCGCGGGCTATTGATATACATAATTAATTTTGTTCAGTTTCTTCACCGAAACAAGAGAAAAGTAAAATCTGTGCACACACAGGTGTAATAAATAAATAATAAATATTTCCAACACTCACACTAATTAGCCTAGCCCCAAAGTAAGCACTGTAAGTTTGTGTTATGGGATACTAAGGTAACGATAGAATACATACATATACTGTACATATTTATTTAAGTGTATTTTTATAGAAATACATATTAAACATCCATGATTGGAGTACAAATGCTCGTATTCATCACAGAAACACCTGCCCCCACCAGGATTCGAACCCAGGACCTCTCGAGTAGGCAACACCTTGAAACCCGGCGTACAAACTACTCGGCCACGGAGGTCGTCAAATAGGTATGAACATTTATTTCATGAATCTCCTGCATTAAATGCTTAAATGTCACATTTACGTATCTTTACTTTACGAACAAACGAACAACGAAACAATTGCAAATCTCTTGCTCTAAAGTACTAAGTTTGAAGCACTAAAATTGATAAAAGGGAGATTACATAAAACTCACAACACAAGTGGCTTTGTTGATATAATTTCTGCTTGCCGGCCGGCTAGTAACTGTACTGAAGTAAATTGATAACAGCTGCGATGCGAAGTTATCTATCATTCGTTGCCTCACCACTTAAATTACCAGTGAAGGTAGCCGCAAACAATGTTTTCTAGATAAACTACACACGGAGGTTATTGGCCACATGTACGTAGCTTGCATTTGGTAAACTAAACTGATGAACAAACATTTTACATTCGTACAAGATTTTACGGACCCCTTCCTTGGTGTGTGAGTCCGACTGATTGCTATTACTCGTATGTAAGAACAAAAACTCACTTTTCATCTTGGGCTCCGCGCGCGGTGATATAAAATTAGAACACGAAAATAAAAATAAATTTCAAATCACACAGGCGAATTCCATTCCGCGAAAAAGGTGAGTTCCTTCTTTCAGAATAGCACTGCAGACCAGCTGTCACGCACTGAGTATTTTTTTGTTGTTTCCCCTTAAATACAACCTAAATAGAGTATCTAAAATAAATAATAATTCTTAATTAAACAGACTTGAGTAATTTGTATCTATATTTTTTAGCATGAAACTGCTAGACTTATAAATCTACATACCAAAATGTTTATCTAGTAAAAAATATTCTGTAACTATTCGTTAATTTTTCGCTACATAGTTATGGGTAGTGACTTTTAGCTCCGTACATGTTGTATTTGTCTACTTTTATAGTGGTAAAACCCGGCGCAATCAAGACAGTAAGCTCACAGATAGCACTAGCCACTAACCTCTCTGCCTATGTATTTTTGTCATACCGGTTTTGGTAAATTAAATGGTTATTGAACTATAAAGGTGTATCATACACAAAATATGTGTTCAATAACTTATTGAACTGATGAATCTTAGATATTTAACCACACAAAGAGGTTTATAACTTAACAATACGATTACATTCTATCAGGCGACTTCAGAGGGGAATCAAACCCGTGATTATTAATCTTTAAACATACCTCCGAAACCAATAAAAGGCATATATATGGGGCCTTGAGAGAGCCGTATATATTTGCGCCTTTTGCCGAGACCTTGGGGCCTTGGGGTGCGGAAGCCCGTCAGCTATTTAAGGAGATTTCTACACGCTTCATCGATGCCTCAGGGGATCCAAGGGCTGGCGCGCATTTCACACAAAGGTTGAGCCTGGCCATTCAACGGGGAAATGCCGCCAGCCTCTTGAGCACCCTACCCTGCGAGCGCAGCAATTTGAGGTCGATTTTTTACATAATATAGTTTTATTTTTAGTTTGGTATAAGTATTTAGTTTATTTAGTAGTTTTAATCTATTTTGTATTTTTAAGTAATATATTATTTTAGGAACTTTAGCTATTACTTAGTTTATTTTTAAATCTCTACTGTCTATTAACATACCTAAAATTTTCAAATGTAATATTAAAGCATAGTAAATACCTATAAACCTTATCAAAATAAATAAATCAGATCACTCAAGAAAAAATCGTCAGACAAATCAGAATACGTATAATCTAATCAAATCATAAAGTTTAGTAGGGATCTTTCATTAAAATAACGTTATGTTCTCGCCTCAGGTCAAATAAAAAAAATCTGGTAATAAATCAGAATATGTATAATCTAATCAAATCATAAAGTTTAGTAGGGATCTTTCATTAAAATAACTTTATGTTCTCACCTCAGGTCAAATAAAAAAAATCTGGTAATAAAAGCCACATAGACCGATGAGAAAATTTTAAACAATCCAAAGTTAGAGTATCCAAATGTATAGCGCATAGTTGCAAACCTTTTCGATTGCCGTCACTCTAGTAAATTATTTTAAAACAAATAAACATATATGTAATTAGTAAATAAAATTAAACTTACCTATAGGAACAAGGAAAAGTATAATCAATGCACGCGCCATGGTTGTTCGATCCAAACACAATGGTCGACAATCGGAGAATGATCAATCCGAGATAATTCTGTGATAAAAGTATGGCCTTACTCCTCCCCTTCTAAGCTACAATGCCACAGGTGAATATACATTGAGCAGAACCGAGAGATTGAATACAAAGTAAACAAGCTTAATGTTTTTTAAAGAGGAAACTCCGTTTGTCACAATATATCTCTTTTGGGATTGGAAAAAAGCACCGAATTTGCTTGACCAACGCGCCCAGATATTTGCTTAATAATTTTGTATTATTTTACTTACATTGTGTGTGTGTGTGTGTGTGAACATCGTAAGTAATAACTTCAACTGACTTACACGCATGGACAAAGGAAAGATATTCGCGAATTTCTTCGATAAACAAATTCAGATATTTTCTTCTCTTTGTGAACCACATTCAGCCAACAGCAATACTAAACTGTTATGACTCGAACTTTTTGTTATGCATTCATTAGTATCAACAAGATACAAACATTAAGGAGAAAAACTATAAAGTTCTGGTTAACATGGCATCGGTGATGATTGATGGCAGATGGTAATTTTTACTAGAAAAAATTAAGAAGTTGAAATTTCTTTGTAAAATTATCCCTATTATATTTCTTGGTACTTAATTCCATTATATGTAATTGAATTTCGGGGTAATTTGTAGGGGAAAAAAATGCGGAAATGCAGTTTTTTTTTTACCTAACCTAAAAATTCATGAAATCTGTTAAATGTAGTGGAATTTCAGGGGGATAGGTATTAGGGAAGACCCCTCAGAGGTAGGGCTGCCATCCGTCCGGGTTTCCCCGGATTTGTCCTAGTTTACGGGGCGTCCGGGGAGCGTCCGGGCGGGGTTTCATTTGTAGTCCGGGCTTAAAAATTTCCTGTTTTGGGTCGCCAATTAATCCGTCAATTTAAATGTCTTTGAAAATAGATAAATCTTTTCTCTCTCAAAGATTAGCTCCGTCGCTCATGCTGTACGCGATAACAGCATTCGTTGCTATGTGGATATCAGCACTGACACTGGTCAGTCAAACATCCCTCTGATGGAAGAAGAAGGGTATAAAGACAGACTTGTGTCCGAGATTCAGATGTTACTGGATCAAGTCTCAAATTGGAGCCATCAAAATTTGATTGGATTAACCCAGCAAAGACACAAGTGTGTGTGAAAAAGCTTGTAGTAAGTAGATCTAGTAAGTACCTCAAGCCTAAATACCGGGTGTTACTTTACAAAGCACTGGTCCTCTGGGCTGGAGCACCCCATTACCAGCTCCTTCCTCTTGACCGGATACAAAAGCGGGCAGTTTGACTTGTCGATGATCCTGAGCTTACTGACGCGTTGCAACCCCTTAGCATGCGCAGACGGTACAACATGCACAAGAACGCAACTCCTTATACGTGTTGTACCGTCTTTACAACGGAGAGTGTTCCGAGGACTTATTTAACCGGATGCCAGTGGCCAAGTTTCTCCACAGCACCACACACCGCAGAGAAGTTTAATGCCCACCATCTGGACGCCTGGCGTTCGAGTACCATGTGTTCCTTTCTTTTGCGTACCAGCAAGATCTGGAACGAACTTTCCTCAGTTTTTTTTTCTTACAGGTATGATATGGTTATCTTAACAAGGCGGATGAACCTTTTCGTTCAGAGCCGGCAACGCATGAGTGGCCCTTGGTGCAGCAAGTGTCCATGGATAGCAGTGACCACCTAGTATGAGGTGGACTGCTACTAGCTCTTTTGCCTACATCAACATCATAAAAAGTTGATTTGTGACATTTTTAACTGTTTTTTATTGGTCTGTCCGGGTTCTGGGCTCCAAAATCCGGGGTTATCACGCGTCTTGTCCTGGTTGCCACATTTTAGAGATGGCAGCCCTACTCAGAGGGAAGGGTAACCCCCCCCCCCCCTCCGGGCGTTTTTTTTACAGAAATGATAATTATAAAAAATTAGAGGGGTTTTAAAGGTAAAACTGTACTTCCAGGGCCTAGAGGTGATATTTGATTTTTTTGTAGAAAAAATCTCTATTAACGAATTTTTCTTTCTGGCGCTTCGCCGGCCGCTGCCGCGGCCTTTTCTCGAGTTCTATTCGTTTCCGCCTAAAAAGATTTCGTGTACGTGTTTTTAATAGTTAATACTTTGCATGACAAAAATTTCAGCTTGCAAACTCAATTACATATAATGGAAAGCTGAGCCTCTTTCTTTGATATTTTAGATGGATCCCACTTTCTCGAATTTTCAATTTGTGAGTAATTCATTGAAAATTCTCTTATTTAACAGTCAGTGGTGTCGATTCTGGGGTTATTCTGTACACTTAAAACTAAATTAAAAATATTTGTCATTTTAATTCTTTATACAGAATGACAAGGCTTACACTATTATCAAAATCAAGTTTGGGTTTAGAGAAGCATACCAGAATCGACACCATTATTTACATAAAATAAAAGACAAAAAAATATGCTAATTTCGAAATCTATAAAAAAATTTGTTCATAAAAATTAATCATCATACTTCCTACCTATATGTCTAACGTAAAAAGTTTTGTTGTATTCAGTCTGTCTTTAATTAGCTAACCTTACAGCATCTTATACTGACGGTCAGTATCAATATTAAAATATATATAATATAATTATTGAATTTAATAAATTTACTTGGCTATCCTACGAAAACACAATGTATCACACAAGTAACACTTACCTACTTATTAGGTACATTAAATTATATTATAATATTTTAAACATAAAATATTATTAATATTAATATGGTACTATAAAATGGTGATAGTTTAGCCATGTCATTGGGCCACCTCCGTCGGCCGTGGTTTAGTTAGATTTATTAGTGTTCCTACTTTCGTGACATTTTCGGGCAATTAATTATTTGCGGGAGTTGTTTATGTAGTTGGTGTATCTAGAAAACAGAACAGAAATTGCAAAATATTGTAGTTTTTCCTTGATTTATACACTCACCACTTATACCTATTTTAAACTTTAATTTTCTATGTCTGCTAGAGGTGCCTTAGAGTTTTGATGATCAATCAGTCAGTGAGTGAGTGAGTGATAAAATTAAAAAACTTTGACTAGTTATAATTCTTAAACTACTGATTCAAATTGAATATTTATACAAGGGCTGCTTGGTTACTGAATTAAGTAATTAAGGCTTCTAGTTTTATCCACAACTAAGATATAGTGAGGTCGAAAATGGCCGGGATGAATGAAGGGATGGTAATTTTTATTCTTATCCTCTTCAGAAGCTTTTCTGACGAGATCTGTCGCTTTTTGTAAAGTACTTGATGAAGTCATTCTTAAATTTTATATGACAATATTGTTAATCGGTTAATAAAAGTTAGATTTTCGGAAGATTCATTTGAAAATATTCATTAGAAAATACTTGTTGCTTGTTTGGAAAACAAAGTGGATTTGAAAGCGCGAACCAATTTATCAGATGTTTATCGTGCTATCTAAAGATGAGTAAGTGCGATAAATTTCAAGTTACTGATAAATGCAGTTTTTATTTTTCGCCGACACCATAATAAATACAACAGACCTACCTTAGCTGCGTACACAATAAGAAGGATATTGATTTAGGAAACATGTGTCATGATTTTAGGCAAAGGATGAAAAAAACTAGTTAGTATAGTTATACTAGTTAGTCACATGCTCGTAAACACGAAACCTGTAATAACACAGTTCAAACCCATTAAAATGTGTTTTGTGTACTTAGTTATTTTACTTATTATATTTTGATTAAAATTTGAAATTCATACATTAACAACCTATTTAATGTACCTATATAAGTAAAAATAACAGTTTTTATAAGAAATCTAGCGGCCGCCCGCGACTTCGTACGCGTGGAGTAGAAATAGTAGTAGTAGTAGTTAGAAATCCAACTAACTCCACGGGTACGAAGTCGTGCCTTTATTAAAAGGTTCACTGCTCGTTCCCCGTAGGTGATAGCGTGATAATATGTAGCCTATATGTTGACCCGACTTTTTAATAATATTCGTGCCAAATTTGTCTGTCTGTCTAATTCTAAAAACTGTATTTTTGTTTTGGCTTCGGTATCGATTGTAGATCACACCCCAAGTATTCTTTTAAAGAATTTTCAATGTACCTACAGTTTTGACTTTCCTACCATTTTATTATATGTATGGATAAGTGTGCAATTATCACTGCAGCTCAATACCCATATTAAAACATACACATTGGCTTTAAAGCCAGATTTAAAGTTGTGCTGCTACAGTGGTCAAACTCCTCGCATCTATCATTATTTTGGACTCAACTCACGTGCAATAAAGATGATGACCCTTGTAAAAAAACACCCTATAGGTCAATTAGAGGACGACAGCACAGTATACATTAAAAACTCAGTCTTTGTGACAATCATCACACCTTTTTAACAAAGCACCACAAACATAAAACAGGCATTTTTTTTTCAGAAAGTTTAAACAGTGCATAGTCAGAACGTAAAATTTCACGCAAAACGCATCGATTTCTCTGGCACCTGTTTCAATATGCTGGTGGTTGTTTAAATTGACAAGAAATTCTGTGAGATCTTCAGCACAATTGCCTTCCTTTGGTGGCTGTGTGATATTAGTAAAATAAATCTTTCTTTGTGCAGATATGAACTGCCTGCTGGGCGGTTCTGTAGCCATACCGATTTTCGAAGTTGTCGATAAAGTCCTGATTGAGACGTCTTGTCAATAATTATTTAAAAAATTTCTGGCTTAAGATCATCAAACAACTGTAATATAATCTTGATAGTGATTTGAAAGCCGTCAATAATTTTGACTGTTTTTGTAATATCGTTTCCGTTTCTTGGATTATATTTTAATGTTTGAAAAAGCATTAAAAGGTTATTAAAAAAGTCTATTTGATTGGTATTTCCGCAAAAAGCACTTCAGTATGTCAAATAAATCATTCATATTTTTTATGAATTTAACCGTTTGCCTTGCAGATTCGTGAATAATTTTAGAATCTACATACGTTGATAAACCAGCTGAAATGGACTGACTGAGCGCTGACAAACGCTGGTCGGCTTCCAGCTTTCTTTCTGTACGGCCTAATGGGCAGCCACCAGTTTGTATGAAAATGTATTACTGTCCTGGGTATACTGTGACCTTTGACTTATTACTTCAAATGAAAATTGACAACAAATAAAGCAAGTCCAGTAGTCTATAATTCTGTTAAGGAACAAAGCTACTTTACAGTCGTACCGTCACGTCGTACCTATTAGATACCTATTCAAGAATGGATGCAATTATTTCAATAATACTAACCTTCTTAGGCCCGTATTATAGAAAGATTCTAAGTGATTGATCTAGTCTTGAGCATAGTTAGAAAGGGATGTCGCTATGTGCTATATATAGCGACATCCCTTTCTAACTGTACTCAAGTAAAGATCAACACTTAGTTGTCATTCTGTAATACAGGCC